AGGTAGCCTTAACAAGTGGGTCTCGAACGTAATTTGTTATCCCATCTCTACGCATTTGGATCGTTTCTGCACGATGACCACAAATAAGCTGAAGCATATCCGAGTAGACTTTATTATAGTCCCCATCGGCAAAAAGTTCCGTGATTTTGTCATGTAATTGATCCGCTGTCACATAACCTTTGCTCCTAGTCCAAGAGACAAGGTCACACATACTTTTTTGTAGCTGATCACGTTGTTTAAGTGCACAGAAAGTCAAGGCACCATACGTTTTATCAGCGTGCGCTAAATAGCGTAGGGAATCGTAACTTTTTATTTCCTCGTTAACCTCCAGTTCAGTAAACCCAGGCGTGTGGGTATACATTTTCTGTACCTCCGAGTACCTAACCTCACACCATTCACTTTGGTCTAAGCGTTGAATCTGTTGTAAAGACTTGAGAAAATCACTAGGTGCCTTAGGAACAGAGGGCTCCTTCAGTTTTACTTGCAGGTCAAATTTAAACTGTCGATATTCCCGTAATGCTTCGTCGTCATTACACATAGACTGATTTTCAAGTAAAGAAATTTCGTCATATTTATCTGCATGTAAGTCTACCGACCCGTGAGGTGACATTTCCGGTTGACTGTTTCCTACACAGTTATCACCGTGAAAAACGCGATTACGTAGTTCACTAACTTCTTGTGATAATTTGAACAGCAATTCGTCTTTGCGACTACGGTTCCAACCTTTATTTTTATGGTAATGACGGCGATGTCTTTTCTTTCTACGAGATGATTTCACAGATGACGAGGTTGAAGAACTACTAGTAGAACTAGAGGTCGAATCTGAATTCGATCGTTGGTCTCGACGCGATTTAGACGTCTTATTTTGTAAGCCAGAGGGTCCCGGCACCTCTCTTGGCTCGAGATCATTTGATTTCTCCATTCTATTTTGACGAAAATTCGAGCTATTGTATTACGCAGACCTCTATCTAGGATGATTAAACACCAAGGAAAATCTAATAACTAAAGAAAGAGGGTATTTTACATATGATACACGTTACTATAACTTCTAAACGGGGCTAAAGTCTAACACCGTTTATATGAATAATACTTCGCCCATTATAGCAGCGCACATTATATTGTTGATTTCTTTTTTTTTTTTTTTTTTAAACAAGTAAATGTACTCACAGTTTTGTTGCGGGTATAGGTGTATCACACGTTCACAATACTTATTTCTAATGTAACTTAATAGCGATCCTGTTATAGATATTAAGTATATTTTTTAACGAAAATTCTGCAACATTGAGCAGCCAACGACTGCTCTGAGCGGAATTTTAGACGCCAATGAAATATAAAACTCTACCGAGCCTAAGCTGTCATCTGACAGCGCCACCTGGTGGGAGAAAGCATGTGTGCGAAAGAGATAGACATATATAAATAGCACTAAAGAGCAAAAGAGAGGGAAAATAAAGCGGAAGTCAAGAACGCCACTCTCAATCTAGTAAGCTTCAAATAACGGTCAAGTGTTTAATACTCAATAACGTTACAGTCCACTTAGTGAGCATAATCTAATATATTAAATTTTCGTGTCACGGTGTGCGTGGTTGAACTCCGAAACGGCTCGACCCGATTTCCGTGAAATTTTGTGTGCATATCGGGTAGGTCTGAGAATCCAACATCTATTTTTCATAACCCAAATTTTTTTTTGACAATTTTTTTTGGAATAATGTATATGGCAAAACAACGTTTGCCGGGTCAGCTAGTATAAAATAAAAACAAAGTACCTAATACCTTTTTTTTTTTTTTTTTTTTTTTTTTCGTGCGGAAATTCCCTCGGATACCACCTGTCGGTGGCATGTCGGACTCGAACCGACTAAAACCGCACGCCTTCGCCGGGTACTAATAGCCGGGGAACCAGGTATACCCTAGAAAGGAAGGCCCTGGTGCCCCGACATACCTCGGGTCATCTACAGACGAGTAGACGACCCCCGCCCCGTGTGGGAACCCCATGTTCCCTGTGCTCCCTGGAAGCGAGCGCGCTTCGCAACGCGCTCGCCGCCACCCCGGCCTGCTTCTGCTAGGGTGACAGATGGCCTCACCTGTCACCCCCAGGCCTGCGCTTATGGAGGACGGAGGTCGTTCTGCGACCTCCGGCGCCTGAGTCGCCTGCGCTGCCTGGCCCGTGCCCGGGCCTGGCGGGCCGGGAGAGTTCTAAACCTCTCCCGGTCCCGCTCCGCCGTCTCCTTCGCGAGCATAACTTGCTCGCAGAAGGAGACGGCAGAGTTCCACGCACTCTCGCTCCGCACGATAGCCGCAATCAGGCTATCGAGCGAGAGAACTCCCACTCCGATGGCCGCCACGAGGTCTCGCCTCTGCTCAACCCACGCCGGGCACTCTGCCAGCGTGTGGAGAGCCGTGTCCACGGTCTGGCCATCGCAGTACCTAATACCTAGAAACAGCGATCGTATCAACGACTCAAAAAAGTTAAGATAACAGATTGCATCACCTACATATTAATTTGCTAAGCGAAGCGCCTCTAACGCGTGCGTTGCGCACCCTAAACCTTGTAGCCAAAGATATCGACTTATTTAGCTGTACACTGAGTGAGTTCACAAAGACAGTATTATATATGTTACAAAACACAAACTTAGAGGTTATGTAAAACAAGCATTTTTGTAATAGTTCATCATCATCATCATCATCATCAACAGCCTTTAATAGTCCACTGCTGGACATAAGCCTCTCCTTAGAAAGGAGGTTTAGTTTAGTTTAGTTACACTATCGCATTAGGATATGCCTGTAATGATAGTAGTAAGTGTGGATACTAATAAATAAATAAATATGTACTAACACGAAATTATATTTTGTACACATTTATCTTTGTACGGAGTCCGTCATGGTTAATCACTGCAGTAATTTATTGTATAATGTAAATTAATATTAGTTTATGATAGTCTTTAAGAGTGCCTGAGTGAGTGAGGTTACCGGAGCCCAAATCCCCCCTCCTGCTGACTCGAGCGGGAGGGACTTTAAGGGCAGCAACACACTTGTGACTTTTGAGTTGCAGGTGTCCATGGGCGGCGGTAGTTGCTTACCATCAAGTGACCCGTCTGCTCGTTTGCGTATATCATGATGATGCGCGCACTTTTTCTACTTTATTTCTTGTATCAACCAAAAATGTATTTTTTTGATACCCGGCTACAATAGGGAATTTGCATGTATTTTTTTAATTTTTTTAAAGATTTTACCAGTTATTACATTACCAAAAATAAATATAACACATCTGAAAATAAACGGTTAAGCAAAAAAAAATTTATTAAAATCACTATCATTTTGGGGCAATTTGAACACGTCCATTTTGGCGCGCTTTTTTTGTAACGTCAGATTACACTTTAAGACGAATTCGATGTCAACAACGGAGTGAAGTTCACAAAGTTTGTGAAAGTTAAAAAAGTGAGTGATAAAAATTAACTTATTACCATGGAAAAGCCAATAAAAACTTATTATAAATATTGTGCCGTTCCTTTGTGTCCAAATAATATCAAAACTGCACGTGACAAAGTATATTCAGTCATTGTGTTGAGTCTTTCTACACGGGAATTTAATAATTTAACACTGAAAACGTGTTAGTTATTAACTTAAAATGAAACAAATAATCACCAGAAACCAAATATTACAAATACACACAACTTGTTGACACTCTTGACAGTGTAGGTTGACGGCACGTTTGCGAGGGAATCTTAAAAAAGACAATTTTTGATGATTAAATTTCACTATTAAATTATAATAAATTTAAAAAATAATTGTATGGGTATAATTTTTTAGCAATAAAAATTACAAAAAAATTTATTTAAGTAAAAAAAATATGTTGGTGTCACGTGCATATTCCCTATTAACTTAATAGTGACGCAAAAATTATAGTTATGTTCTATTTAAAACTTACGATATCCTGAATTTTACAATTTTTTTTACTGACCATATTTGAGCATAAATTTATAAAACTATTATCAGACCTGCCGTTCTGTATGGTTCTGAAAGTTGGCCCATTAAGAGAACGGATGAGAGACGCCTGAACGTAGCCGAAATGCGAATGCTGAGATGGATGTGTGGTGTGACTCAGATGGACAAGGTTAGGAATGAGTATATACGAGGGAGTCTGAAAGTAGCGCCACTGGATGAAAGTTAAGAAGTAATAGGTTATCTTGGTATGGACATGTCATGAGGAAAATGTGGCGAAGAAAGTTTTAGGTATGGGAGTTGAAGGGTACAAGAGAAGAGGCAGACCGAAGAAAAGATGGATGGACTGCGTGAGGGAGGATATGGCTAGGAAGGGAGTAAACAGTGAGATGACGCATGACAGAGTAGAATGGAAAAATCATACATACTGCGCCGACCCCAAATAAAATTGGGAAAACGGTAGGCAGATGATGATGATTTGAGCATATCGGGATTTAGTTTTCTATTTCAAATTTATGCTTAGCCAACAGCTCCTAATTTTCTGTATCTAAACGTCATAGTATAGTTGACTGCATCGGTGGCGTATGCGACTGCTGTGCTGAGGAGTAAAATGTCCCGTTCGCAGAATGTCCAATATTCATCCAGCAATTGTCAGAGCTCGATAGAAAATAAAAAGGTGTGTGACAAGGTATGTTTAGTATTCAACCGACCGAAAAAATGATTAAGTTAAGGTATCACTTGTGGCAGTAACAATCGATTATTTTAGGTCCAAGGAAAGGACCCTGTGGAACTCCCTAAATAATGTACAATATACATTTTGTCCATATTTAAGTGATTAGTTTTGGGTGTCGTTAATTTGATTTCTAAGTAGTACTAAGAATAAAGTAATTCAGTACATCGAAAGCATGTTTCTAACGGTTCACTCTATTAAAGGTAATAATGAATTTTACGTCGAGGAGTAAACAAAAACACGAAAGTATTATTCATCTTATTTTTTATTTAAAAATCGTTCAGTATGTACAATGAGAGGGTAATATTTACAGAGTGCGGGGGGGAGCGTTCAGTCAGTGCGGGAGGGGCGGCAGGGGCGGCAGGGGCGGGGGCGGCGGCTGGTGGCGCTCGGCGAGCCAGGCGCGGAAGCGCTCGCGTCGCGCCGCCGCCAGCCGCGCGTGCGAGGCTCGCGCCGCGCCCAGCGCGCCGGGCTGGTACAGCTGCAGCGGGCGGAAGGCCAGCAGGCGGCAGCGCAGCGACGCGCTGAGCGTGCACTCGGCCGAGTCGTGCAGGCGCGGCGGCTTGCGGCGCGCGTGCAGCACGCCGCGCGGGTGCGCGTGCGCCAGCGAGTGCGCGTTGTGCGTGTAGCCGCCGGCGCGCGCGCGCGCGTTGCGCAGCAGGAACACGGGCTTGGGCGCGCGCTCCTCGCGCGGGCCGGGGCGCGCGAAGCGCTCGCGGTACAGCGACCAGGCGGCCAGGCGCGCGGCGGGCGGCGCGGGCGCGCGCGCGGCGTCGGGCGGCGCGAGCAGCTCGATGGCGAGGCGGGAGCAGTCGCGCACGCGCACGAGGAAGGCGGCGTGGTCGCGGCGCAGCAGGCGCGCGGCGCGCCGCACGTAGGCGGGCGAGCCGCGCATGCCGCGCTGCGCCAGCTCCACGGCGCGCGCCGACCACGGCTCGGCCACGGCGTGCTGCAGCTGGCGCACGGCGATGGACACGAGCTTGTCGAGCGTGTAGGCGGGGTAGGCGCGGATGCCGAACATCTCGCGCGCCGCGTCCTCGTAGGCGGGCGGGTCCATGTTGCCGTCGAGCACGGCGCGCACGAGCTCGAGCAGCACGTCGTAGTACTGCGCGGGGCTGGCCACGTCGGCGGGCAGGTTGGAGGGCTTGAGGCGCAGCGCGCTGGCGGCGGGGCGGGGCGCGCGCTCGCGCTCCGAGGCGCCGGCGGCCCCCAGCGCCAGCGCCCAGCGCCGCGCCGCGCCCAGGCGCTGCACGAGCGCGCCGTGCACGCGCAGGAACAGGTACCACGACGACGTGCACACGAACCGCGTCTCCTGCCGAACGCACAGCCGAACCGTTAACGTACTTCTCGACGTTTATACTACTACTTCAAAAACCACACGATAAAATATTAAACTTACGTTAGGCGAATGTTCTCTGTAATCGTCTTCGAGATCGTTGGGTTCGCTCTTATACTCTGACTTGACCGACATTTCTTCATTACTGCTACTCCTCTTCACACTATTCGCAGCTACATTTGAATTATCTAAACGATAAAAAAAATTATGTAAATTACCAATTTTTTATAGCTAATATTTTTTTTAGTTTTGTAACTTCCCGTAACGATTTTGAAAATATTATAAATACTAAAAAATCAAATGGTAATTTAAAACGTTAAGACATCAGTAGGAAGGCAGCATGCATGTATCACCACAGACGTTCTGTCAAAGGCACATCGCATGGTTTCTCATCATTGTCTCACATATTCTATCCCAATTAATATTATAATTTTTTCTCTTAATTATTAATTCGTTAATTTAATTATACCTACACATAGTAGATGAAAATAGAAAAATTAAATGGTCCATTTAACAAAGCCCACTAATAACGCGAGGGAAATCGCAAATCAAAACTATTAATAATATATTTATATCTCACCTTTAGTGTCAGTGTTATTATTGTTTTTCGGTTTGTTTTCCTTATTCTTATTATTCTTGCCACTTTTATCAGACGCGTTATCAGACTCGGACGACTGTTGACAAAACAAACATTCATTACATAATCATGTCAGTAGGTCATGGCGTACAGCTATGTGTGTACCGCTATCATTTAAAAGTAGGTATATAATTATCTATGTGTTGTAGTAGCATCTCTGGTATTTAACGTAATCATTATATGAAAGAATAATTAAGTAATAAAAGAATGAAGAATCTATGTATTCATCAAAGAGACATCAGTAGGAAGGCAGCATGCATGTATCACCACAGACATTCTGTCAAAGGCACATCGCATGGTTTCTCATCATTGTCTCCATAACTAAATGATTACTCTACAGATATTATGATGTCTCTGGGACCGTAAGTAATGCACTATCTTATGTCCTAATCACATAAGACTTTATAGTTAGAGCAAGGTATTTGTTTGTTTATTTTGACATTAGAAAACGTATGATATTAAAAAAATAGACAAAATTCATGGTGAAATGATACCAGCAGTCTTTTATGCTATGTTATTTGTAGGTAGTTATGATTGAACAAAGTAAGATTAAACAAATTCCGTGTAAATAAATATTATTTTACCTCTGGTTTCTCTTGTTTAACTGTCTTGTCGTCCTGCGTTGATGGATCGCCGCCAGGACTACCTGGACTCGGCGCTTCCTCTTTCTCTTCTGAAGAAATACAATAATAATTATTAAATACCTAATTCTGAGGCGTAACTACTTTTTAAAATAAAATGCAGAAGTTATTATATATTATTTTATTGACAGAATCGATGTTATGTTATCACAGAATTATCAATGGGCTTAAAAACTTGTCTGCCAGTAATGATTAATTATCCCAGCAATAAATCTCATGTGTGGTCTGAATGATAGTTCCAAACAAATGAAGGCAAGTAGTATTATAAATGCTTGTTGTAGGTAGATAAAAAGTACTTTACTAAAAAAGAATATTTCGAGACATCAGTAGGAAGGCAGCATGCATGTATCACCACAGACATTCTGTCAAAGGCACATCGCATGGTTTCTCATCATTGTCTCATATATCCAGAGCAGCAGTATCACACAAAATTAAAAACTCATCTTCCTCCTACCCAAAGAGATCTATCAATAGTCATCAAAAGATACACAAACTTGGCCTTCCTTAAGATATATTTACATTATAATCCGATGTGGATTAGAAACCTTATGATAGTTTAATACTTTCTGAGGAAGGCGAAGGACAGAAGGCTGCGCGCAAGTTGGGAGGGGCTTATTTTCAGCAGTAGACTGCAATAGAATGATTGACTGAGATCGTCACTAGATTACCTTTAAGATATCTCTAAACAGCTATGTCGGAATCGACATAGCACAAAACTACGCAGAACAACAGCACTGCAGAGAGAAGGAAAACTTGACACAAGCCCTTTACCAACCCGTCTGGCCAGCGTGGTATAGTAGGTCAAAACCTCCTTTCTAAGGAGAGGCCTATGTCCAGCAGTGGACTATTAAAGGCTGATGAGATGATGTGATGTCGGGATCGGACCGAATTACTCCAAAAAGCGTTAAGTCAGCCTTGACTTGGTTTGAAACTGTCTGTTGGTATGTTTTGACGTACCGTCGTCCCTCTCGTCATCCGAGAGCGGTTGTCGTGGGTGTGAAAAGAGGTCGGGCAGGAACTGACGCAACAGCTGTTTGATGCGGCGCTTCTCGGCTTTCTGTATCGCCGTCTGCCGCCGCGCGTGGTGGATCAGCAGCTCCGCCGTATCGCGAACTATCTTGATGGCTGTACAACAATAACAAAACATCACTTAAATAAAAAATAAAGTAAGTAAAAAGTAAAGTAATTAGTAAATGAAATATTTTTTCCTCGAAGACCTGCACGTCTATTAACAGCTGTATTATTTTACAACACTGCAAATTAAAGGGCCTTGGTCAAAACGGGCGTAAAACCAACAGCATTGAAATTAATTCCATGTAATGATTAGATTGTCCGTGTGGTGACGGATTAAGCATACAGAATGTCACCACCCCTATTCATCCCGTGGGTGTCGTAAGAGCCGACTAAGGGAAAAACTACGCAGGACAACAGCACTGCAGAGAGAAGGAAAACTTGACACAAACCCTATACCAACCCGTCTGGCCAGCGTGGTATAGTAGGCCAAAACCTCCTTTCTAAGGAGAGGCTTATGTCCAGCAGTGGACTATTAAAGGCTGTTGATGAATGATTAGATAGAACTAATGATTAGTTATTTTGTTTAAGTTACTTTGAAAAACAGAACTCTTGCAGTATTTACTAATTACTGTAAAAGAAAAAAGCCCCAATTGTCTTTTTTATTAAAAATGTAAACACTTTATTATACTATCAACCTGAATCAAACAAATACTAATAATTCAATGAAAATTTACAGTATAACCTCATTTCCATTATTTTTTCTTTTTATTTATATAATACTAGTCGACCAGGCAAACGTTGTTTCGCCGTATACATTATTTCTAGGAAATATTAAAAAAAAGGTGCATACAAAATTTCATAAAAATCGGTCCAGCCATTTCGTAGAAGTATGGTAACTAACATTGTGACACAAGAATTTTATATTTAAAATGAAATATGTAGCTAAAACAAACAATTCACATTCTTTTTGTAAAAAAAGATTCACTTCCACATGTTATTAGGCAATTATGACACATGCAATTAGGCAAACAAATATGTTTATTTAAGTCACATATCATGTCGGTCGGTTAGCAGTTATCGCGGTAAAAAGTAACCTGTTACTTTCTGATAATGTAGCTAACATTGTTGAAAGAATAGTTGTTTAAATCAGTTTAGTGGTTCTGACGCGAAAACGTAACAAACAAACTCACCTTCACGTTAATAATATAAGTATGGATTCTCTTTTTTGTAATTTTTAACGGACTTGAAAAGATAGATGAGATTCTCAATTTGGTTGTCTATTTTTTAATTTTTCTACCTCAGAACTGTGATTTATTAAATATATCTATAGAATTCTTTTGTTTTATTTTGAATTCTGTATTTTTTGGGTGAATATACCTTTTTTTTACTCATAATGAAATAAGAAAAATACCTGAGGGTGAAAAATTATGGATTGAAGAACATAGTTTGTTACAATTTATCACGATTTAGCCGTATTGATGTTGGTACTTAATAATAGTTAAAAAAACTAAGTTAATTACGGCAAAAAAAAGTGTTTACAACGCCAAAAACCCCAATGAACGAAACAAGTGCGTGTATTGTAAACGACACTTATGAACCAATGGAGACTCTTCAACGATTTTTGAAGTGAAAACTTCTTTAGTCGCGTTGGGTATTTTAGAACAAACAAAAATGTATTTTTTGAGTTGAGAATAACCATTGAACTCGCGACATTTACCGTTACCGACACCTTTGTATATAAGTATTTACATATATGGGCCCCGTTTACACGAGAGTTGAGTTTGGGTTAAAATATGTACATTGATAATATAACTATATATAATATAAACATATATTGCGTATATACGTACAACATAGATATATGTTTATGTCGGCACTTTTTGAATCGAAAAAAAAAAAACTTGGTATAATCAAAAATCATCAAGTTTTTGCTTATGTCTTTTTGGTAATATGGTGGTTTATTTTTGGTTCGTGTATTGTATATACGTGTCGTTTGTCGTTGACGTTACAAACAGTGTGAAGGCGTACCTTCCTGTCGGCTCTGCAGGTTGTAGTCGATGACGACGTGCGGGCCGGGCCGGCGCGCGGCGTAGGCGCTCTCCACCTCGTTGAACAGCGTCTTGGAGCGCATCGCCTTCAGGTCGTTCTGCTTGAAGTTGATGCCCTGGTGGTCCAGCGACTTCAGGTAGTACTTCTCGTTTTGTTCACGCCACTGCTTGTTGAAGCCCTGAACAAAATATTCGTTTTCATTATTACTTGCTAGCTTTTCTCGCGGCTCTATAAGCGTATATGTCGGTGATCGCGTTAAGAAGTAGCCTATTTCCTCCCTCAAGAATTAAATATAATAATAATAATAATATTGTACCACATTCATAGAACGCCATCTAATCCCACACTAAGCAAAGCTTGTACTATGGGTACTAGACAACTGATTTAAATACATATATATACTTTTTTTGTAAATACATACTTATTATACAAAGAAACACTCCGACCAAATCAAACATTAAATGTTCATATGCACACAAATGTTTTACTTGAGCGGAAATCGAACCCGCGACCTTTGGAATAGCAGTCCGTTATACAAACCACTACGCCATTCGGTCGTCTCCATGCCAAGTTTCATTTAAATCGGTTCAGCAGTTTAACCCTAAAACTGTAGCAGACAGACAGTTCCTATGGCATTTGTAATGTAATGTCTTTTGTAATGTAATGTAATGTCTGCATTAGGATAAAGCGAACGAATATTTGGACGAAGTTAAATCCACTTCAATTATCTTGGACTCTGTATAAAACTTAAGTAAAATACCATTAGGTGGCAAAGCCTTTTAGTTTACTTTTATCTAGTGGTAAGCTTCCTAATGTTCACATTATTAGGGGTCTTTACAAATCTATTTAACCTGCATTTACCAACGACTTTGCTGTACTAACTAATTCCTATGCAGCTCGTAAAATATTTCTATTTTAAGATGATAATACTATAAGTTACTACACAACCCAAAAAACAGGATTTAATTATGAAAGAGACATCAGTAGGAAGGCAGCATGCATGTATCACCACAGACATTCTGTCAAAGGCACATCGCATGGTTTCTCATCATTGTCTCCATAATTATAATTTTTGCATTTCAAAACCAAAGCCCCTTCAATCCTGTTTTTATTGTACAGTGAGAACAAATAGTATATCTTTGTAATTTTAAACTATAAATTTGATCAAAGTTTTATTTTTTATAACCTTTTTTTAGAGATCATGATAAAAACAAAATAATCGAAATGAAATAAGCAAAAATATTACCAAACCGTTAAAAAAAATTAACAAACATTTAACAAATTTTTAAAAAGTAATATTGTTAGATTAAATTAGAAGAATATTAACCTTCTGCGCCTCCCGCCATTCTTCCTCTTTGGCTTTCAACCTCCGTAACACTACGGGCACCGCGACGACAGGGTTCTTCTTTAGACCAGCTATGATGTCAACCGCCTGCAATAATACAAACATTTGAAATCGAGTTGTTGATAAGCAAAGATAAGAAACATATTGTGCTATCCACTTGTAAAAACAGAAAACGTAAAATACTGTAATGTTGTAGATTTAAATTCTCAAAAATTTATGTACATACTTTAGAAGTACACACATGTATTTTACTGATTTTTATAAACCGTTGGCTTAACGTGCTCGCCAAGGCACGGAGGGGTCTATGTACAGAATGGTCACCCATCCATAGACTGACCTGGCGAGAATTGCTTAACTTTGCAATGTGCTCACCAACTCTGTTACCACTTAGCCACGAGCCCCAATAGTAATTGTTATACTAATGAAAAACTGCATCACCTAAAATAGTGGTACATAACTATTAGAGAGAAATTAATAAAAGGAATTGAATAAATTAACAAATTAATATATTAGTTTTGCAGAGCTCTAATTACTTCTCATATTATCAAAGGAATGAATTGTGATTTAATTACTTAATTAATTTAATTGACTTGATTTAATTATTTAATTTATAATCTGTGTTTTACAAGTAGATCACCAAATATGTAATAAATATAAAAATATTTAAGAGCATATTAAAGATTCCTACACAAAAATAAAACGAGTATCTATTCTAATACTAGTACAAAAGCATCTACGAGCAAAAATAAAATAAACATACACCTTACAAAGTTGAACCCAATTACTTTAAATTATTGTTACTACAATAAAAATTACCATTCAATCCTTACAAATAGTCATTTATAGTAAAATCATCTAAAATAATAATAATATTTTCGGACATCTGACACAACGCCATTGAGTTTCAAACTAAGCAGAGCTTGTACTATGAAAGTTGTATTGACTGATAGAATTCTTATACTTTTTCTTGTAAATACATATTTTACATAGAAAACACCCAAACTCTGCAACAACAAATATTTGCATATCATACAAACATTTGTTCCGACCCGGGAATCGAACCCGAGACCTCAGCACAGCAGTCGCATACGCTACCACTGCACCACCGAGGCTGTCAATACTTTTATATTGTATCTTGATTACACAAGAACATTAAATCACATCACTAGTGCGTTGCCGCCCTTTCGAGTCCCTCTCCTATAGTCAGAGGGAGGGGGTTTTTTTTGGATCTGGTAACCTCCTCGCTCACAAACAGCTTATTGGCAACAACTGTGAGTAAGTAGCAACCCTAACCTTCCGTACGAAAAACTAATGATAAATCACAGTTCACTGTGATTTTGTCTTATGTCTACTCCGTGAAAAACAAGAAAAAATTACTTAACACAGGTACTTCTGTGAAACCGTGGTATCACTCCGGTAAAGCCGGCCTATTTTCACAAGTAAACGAAAATGGAACAGCAAGAACTACAAAATATTGTGCATTTAACAAATAAACATTACACCGTCACCGCTTATTAGATAACTATAACTAAATATAAAGGAGCATAGACAAAGGCATGCAATGCTGTGTATTAAATAAAAAAAAAGGCAATAAAAAGAATACGCCGACCATGAAATACAATTACTCACAGATCGAAAATCTAAAAATCAATTTTAAAGCGTAAACAATCTATTACTGAATATAGTTGTACAAGATGGTTTAATGTCCCCATACTCGCCTTCTAAAGCATAGAAATTAAAATAATACAGCCAAAGATAAAACTTTTTTCTAAAGAAAAGTTGTAATGTATGTATTATACAGTACATATTTTCTTACTATGTAGGTAAAGTTTCAGGAGAATTGATTGAGGATAACTGTTTTATAAGTTATTTGCAAGATTTGACCCCAACATAAACAGTTTTTTTGAATAAAATCTTGTAAAATGGGTGCAAATCACTAAGATTGGTTTGTCGGATAAATACTCTTATTTGTGAAACCATTTGTGTTTTTGATAGTCTAATTCGGAGTGGAGCAGTGATCATAAAACGCGATATTTATTATAGCGGTACAAAATTCTTTGCAGTCGCTTGAATAAGACGCACAGAGCCCCAATTGCGATTTTATTTCACTTCAGTGATGTCATTGGACCGCACTGAAATCCCGCCAAACGCGCTGTCCGTCGAGAGCTCACACTTGGCCTCTGGAATGCCACTACACTGATCTAATATCATAGCAGCAAGCATATATATGTGAGCAAAATGGGGAGGCAAGTAGGTAACAAAACCATCTTGTGTATAATATCACACAGGTGTGTGACGGGTGAGGTAGTGAGACAGGACGGCCCCGCACAGCATGCCTACAAGTCTGACTCGATCGTACCACCTTGTCACCGTATATACGCCGCAGCGCCCGCTGGTGGATGGTGGGCGAGTGTCCGCCGAGGCAGTCGTCGAGGCGGTACTTGGCGGCGTCCTCGGGCGTCATGCGGGCGAGCTTCTTCTGCACGCCCTCCAGCACTCGGATCGTCGACGCGTTCGTCTCTATCACTACGTCCAGCTGGAATTAGATAACCTTCATTAACGAATTTCTGTCAACATTATTAAACTATGTGAAATGGCCTCGCGTGATATTTTTGTTTGTTCTATTGGTGAAAATGGTTACCAATATCCAATTCGGGAACGATAAGGTGTACACAGAAAAAAAATGCAGTCAAATTGAGAACCTCACCCTTTTTTTGAAGTCGGTTAATAAACATGTATTTTATATACATAAATAATTGTATAGCATTGCGTAAAGTATTTTTGTTTGACCAATTAGTTAACAGTTTGTCAGATGTTTCATGAACATGTGTTCAAGGAACATCTGGCAAACAACTTATTCACACTTAATGTGGTAAACAACATAAATTTAAGATGCCTACAAAAAACAACCTTCAATGATTATGAAAATTATCATGAAACGACAAATACATGGACGATAATATTTTATTTTTATTTTTACTGATCTTTTGGTCATCTTGTATACTAAACGATAAATCAGTATAGGAGCTATGATATCAAAGACAAACAGACATAAGTCGTTTTACCTCAAACCTTTCATCTTCACATCTATATATATACTCTTCATATTGAGTTTTCCGTGACGTTACAAAGGTGGATTCTTCGCTCCAAGTCGGGAATGATACCCAAGTATCGTTGAGAACCTGTAAAATTACGTCATTTTATTAATATTGTAGTGTAATGAAGGTAACAATTTATTGTAGAAGGGTTGATAACATGTTTTATTGGGGATTCTTCTGTTTATTGATTGATGTTCTTTGTCTGTAAAGTTGTGATGGTTTCCTATGGAGTTTTGGTTATACTCGTATTGTATAATATTTTAACTACATGGATGGTGTAGTGGTTTAAGCGTGCTGTGTTGTGGGTTCGATCCTCACATGGAACAACACTTGTGACTGGTTTATTTAAAGAAAGAAAGAAGAAAAGAAAATTGATATAATTTTTCACCATTTCATTCGGTCATTAATTAATACGTAATGATGTTAATAAGTTTGTTTTTGTACGAGTGTTAAATATATATTTTATTTGCTCCGATTTTATGTCATAATAGTTTTTAGAGCTTTTATTCTAGTAGGACAAGAGTACAAGATTGCAAGGATGGCGTAGTGGTTTAAGCCATACCTCTCGCTCTTGCCCCTACAGTAGTATACGAAACGTAACTCTCTAGCTTCATTAAGTTATATCTCCCTCTCAACTCCGTTCGCATCGCCCGATCACACTATTCGTAACGCTCTCGTCACGGCTTCACAAGCTTACTCCCACTTGCGTAAGAAAGGAAGACACGGTATTAATTAAAGTAATAAATAAGTAATGTAAAGAAGAGTATAGTTACCTCCTTGCAGAGCGGCGTGCGGCCCGAGCAGCGCCTGGCGGCGGCGTCCCGCGGCAGCGCGCAGTACGACGTGCCCAGCCGCTTGCACGTCGACAGGTCTGCGCAATACGTACCGCCGTTAAACGATAATCATCACTACATATTTTTAGTGAAAACTAGCTCTTTTTATCTAAATTAAATTTAATAAATATTGTCCTATTCCCTCTTATTTTGTTTTTAATATAATCAATCTAAAACATTTACAATTATTTATTCAAAGGGTTAACTATAATTTCATTAATTTCTCTTACCAAATTAAAGCTTGTTTATAAATTCTACGAAATAATTAACGTAATGAAAGCGAACGAATCTAGGTTTTAGTATAATAATCTCACACATTATCATCAATTTTCATAAGTAAAGACCTAATATAATTAATACTACTTTGTTTTGTAATTGTCAAAGGAATGCTGTATAAATATTTTTCTTTTTGTTTTTAGTTTCCTTTACACTTTTTTCTCACCAAATCTGCCCATGAAATTACCTATTTACAGTCTATTTGTCAATCCAAACTTTGCCTGTAAGATATTGCTTTTTAGCGATAAGGCCGCCATTTGTACATGGTCATTAACTTGGAATACTATTGTATGTATAATATCCTGAATTGGTGTACAATAAAAATTATTCTATTCTATCATCTGAGGTCCAACTGTGAGTTTATTTCACTTCTACTCGATCGTTACAGTGACCGCGTTCGGCGTTGTGATTGACCCGCACTGAAATCTGCATCAATCACAACACTGAACGCGCTCGCTGTCGAGACTTGGCCTTGGCCCTCTAATCTTAAACTAGGCACAGCCTGTGTTATGGTAACCAGACTGCCGATAAACATATTTATATATCAGATGAAAGACATCCCAAAACAATAAATGTATAGGTGGTATATAAAGGGCGTACCGATATCCATGGCGGCGTCGCCCTGGGGCCGGTCGTGGCGCAGCTGCGCGGCGAGCGCGGCGACGGGCTCGTGGCGCAGCTTGGGCTCGGCGGCGCTCGGCCGGGAGTACAGCGCCGACGAGCCGCCGCTCGGGTAGCAGTTGTTGAACCCTACACAACGGTAACGCTTCATCAAATATACTATTTAACGTCATTTATTAAATGAATACTACACATGTATCAAAAATATAACATTCAAATGCAAAATAATTGCTAAAGAACAATTACAAAAACCAAGCATTATTATGAAATGAATAACTATAATGAAAGTTTTAAATATTCCTATTTTTTATAGATCTATCTTTGTCGTCACTTTAGTTAAAAAATATATACCTCATACTATCCTCCTAAACTTTAAAAATAAAACTGATTGCGTATCATAAACTTGACGAATCCCATCTTCTTAAGAGGCAACTATAAAGTATATTTATTTAGACTTCATGTTTACACATGCCGCATGCATTTCCTGCATGCAGCATGTGTTAACATGAAGTTATAATAATCATGTGTAACCTAATTTTAACCAAAGTACTATTATAAATTTTCTCATGAATATAAAAATAAACACTGACCACTATGGGCGGTGTTAGTTGGAGTGTGTGGTGGTGAAGGTGGACCGAGGAAGTCCTGCAACCACTTTTGCAACTCAGGATGTCTGCAGAGAAACGGAGCGGTCACCATCAACAGCTCCGATGATGAGATTATCTCGTTCGTAAACAGTAACAGGCACCTGTGAACAGGACCGAAATGTATGACAAACATACCAAAATAAATATATGTGTTGTATTATTTATATTAAATAAGTTAAATTTAATCATCGACGCAAAAGGAGGGCGGGTATTATAGTCCTTATTTAAAAGATCAAAAAATGCAGTGTAAATCTGTTTGGCCATTTGAAGATCAGCTCTTCTAAACGTCGTAAACATTCTTTTTAACAGTAGTTGTAAGTGTACCATGTATGTTTGATGATATTTTAGGTATCATCAACATCCTTTACTAGTCACTGTTGGACATAGGCCTCTTACTTAGAAGAGAGATTTTGGGTACCACACTGGCCAGACGGGTTGTATTCTATGTACATTTGATTGGAATTTAAAGACATCAGTAGGAAGGCAGCATGCATGTATCACCACAGACATTCTGTCAAAGGCACATCGCATGGTTTCTCATCATTGTCTTGTATTTACGTATTTTTGCTAATATTGTATTTTATCAATTTGATCATTTAATTACAAAATAAAATTTAATTACATAATACAATTTGTAACATTAGTTTCACAAATTAATGTATTTTTAATGTGAAAAATTTAATACAAAGCCATCAGGCTGTTGGCGTGGCCACGCGTCACCACGCTACGCTTGACGCTGATTTACAAGTCGAGCAAATGTTAAGTTTGCATATTACAATTATTATAGTATATTATAATTTACTAGCTGACCCGGCAAACGTTGTATTGCAAAACAAAAAAAAATTAGGGATGGGTCACCCTTACCATTTAGGGGTATGAAAAATAGATGTCGGCCGATTCTCAGACCTACCCGATGTGCACACAAAATTTCATGAGAATCGGTCAAGCCGTTTCGGAGGAGTACGGGAACGAACATTGTGACACGAGAATTTTATATATAAGATTATAATTAGACTTGCAACGAATAGTATATTCGGCAGTATACCGAATACCGAATATTCGGCGAGGCCCCTGACCGAATAGCCGAATATTAGGCAAAAGTATTCGGCTGGATTTTAGCGCCAAAAACTTGTACAGACGTGAATTAAATTATGTACCTGTTTTATGTACCAATGACTACTTAATAAATCATTATAAAAGAAATGAGAACCTTACCCTTCTAAATTTTGATTACCACAATAATTCAAATACATAGAATCCTCCATTTTTCCAATTCAGAAGATGATTATGTACCTGTGTTATGCACCAATGACTACTTAAATGATTATAACAGAAATGAAAATATGAATATATACGTAATCAATCGATTTTAATTTTTCATTTTACCAATTATTTCTCAATGACAAAATATATTATTTAAGTATTCGGTATTCGGCCGAATAATATGTAGATATTCGGTATTCGGCCGAATATAATAAAAGCAGCCGAATAGGCCGAATACCGAATAGTAACCGAATATTCGTTGCAAGTCTAATTATAATACAATAATATATCTCACACACTCACACACGGCCGTCTGATCCCAAACTACGCAGAGCCTGTACTATGGTAACCAGACTGCTGATAAACATACTTATATATTTCTAAATACATACATATTATAGATAAACTACACCCAGACACAGAACAAATGACCGTGCTCATCACACAATATTTGTCCTGGGTGGGAATCGAACCCACGACCTCCGGTGTAGCAGTCAGGGTCACTAACCACTAGACCAACAGGCCAGTTAACGATTTATCCTAGCTAACGATTTACGTTCATTATTTGTACATAATAATGAGAATGTTTGACACGTAAGCGGTGTCGGTACCTGAGGAAGTTGTCGTAGACGTGCTGCGAGCGCAGCGCCTTGCGAGCCTTATCGAAGAAGTTAAACTCGTGCACGGTGGCCAGCTTGGCCGCCTCCGCGTAGGACACGTCGCGCACCGTGGGCCCCGACAGGCCCGACGCGCGCGCCTTCTTGGGCGGCGGCGCGCCCAGCCCTGCTGCGGACGGACCGAGCGATCACATTAGAAAGGGGCCAACCACATCTAGTTCCCTGCCCTGTACCGCTTCGTTTGTGCCTAATGTTTCCTTCTAAACCCTGAAATGCCCAGTCGACGTTGGCAGCTGTGAGCTTGGCTCCTATTGAGTAAACGAGACCTAAATTATAGTCGACAGATTGTGAGCGATTTAACCTCTTCGGGAAAATAAACGATGAGTAATATGAAATATACATAACATGTAATGAGGCGTAAAAAATACTGAAAATCCTTACTAATATTATACATACTAAAGCACAAGTAGCTTAAACCGCTGAAGCGATTTATATGAAATTTAGTGTGGAGATAGTTTGATTTTTGAGAAAAGAGACATACTTAACTGCGATTACCAAAATAAACGCAGGCGGAGCCTTGGGCAAAAACTAATATACTACTAGATATATAATAATAAGACAGTTTCAAGAATAAAGAATGGATGAAGTGTATAAAGATAAAACACATATTATCCTACATGGTATCTATCGTAAATGGCCTACACTTACGGGCAGTAATAAAATGTTAATTACGTATAATGCTGCTAGGAATACAGAAAATGACAGAACTTGGTAAACAAACAGTATTATTTTATGAGATAATAATATTAGTTTTACAAGAACGAAGCGACAGAGTATAAAGTTAGAAATTGAATAACTCATTATTTTATTCTTTAATTTGCTCCTTTAAAAAAGTATAAATAAATTTAACTGAATCAATAACAACTTACAAATCTGGCTGGAGGAGGTGAAGCTAGGCGACCTCTTGAGATGATGGTGTTGTGATGGTGGTGCAGCAGTGGAAGAGCTGGAACTTGTATGCTTTGGAAGCTGTACAGATGATAGGGTTATATTAACATCCCAAGGCATTTCCGGCTAAGGACAAAATATTACTATTAATATATATCTATTACATAATTTTGTACCGAAATTAATTTAGTACACTGATTGAATATTGAAGAATGTAACTTTACGTGGCATTAAGTGCTAAAGCAAAACATACCTGTGTGTGGTGATGATGCTGGTGGGGCGCGTGGGGCGGTGAGGGGGGCGCTGCGGCCGGGAACCGCTCCGGCTCAGACTCCACGCGTTGTTGCTGCAAAAATATAAATAAATTAATCATCAAAATCATTAAAAGGTAAAGAATAACTATTTTAATTGTTTGAACGAAGGTTTCGTACCTGGTGATGAGCGGCAGGTGTGGGCGAACGCGCGTGAGGGTAGTGCCTCTCGCGTTCGACGGGAGGTTTGGTCACCGCTTTGGCGTCAGGCAGGAACTGCCCGAATTCCGCCAGCAAATCATCTTGATTCTCGAACAGCTTTGCCACCTGAACAATACACAGTTTTCTAATTAATAACCAAACAAATAAATAAAAGCAATCGCAGTTTTTTTTTGTAACATGTAGGGTCATTGCCATTTTGTGATCAGGTTATAAAAAATATTATTTATTGAATTAATTATGTGTAAGTATGAAAAATTTAAGGAAGAAGAACATTATTCCTTTATTAGGTGTAAACGGATATTGATACTTTTTTTAAATTAGTTATTAATTCTAACAAACAAATACAAATATTTCTTGATAATTGTACTCTGACTATAACTTGTTTAGAATCATCTCTCTTGGAGCGTTTATTTTTATGGCATAGGAAGCAAACGAGCAGACGGGCCATCTGATAGTGACTACCACCATCCCGGGACAACTCCCTCCCACCCTTAAGTGAGAATGCACTTGTGACTTGGGCTTGGGCACTCTAGTAACCTCACACAATGATAAATCATTTTTTCTAAATAGTTGAATCGACTTCAAACAATACTAACAACAAAGAGAACTAAAAACCTAGCAGCAATCGCGGCTGATTTGCTGTCATTTTTTGAAGAGTTCCGTTGTCTGTCTCCGAAACTCATCATCAGATCTATATGAAATCTAAATGGGACCATTTCGGATAAACCTCTTTCGAACAAAAAACAAATTTGAAATTCCGTCTATATGTAACGGAGTTATGCCCGTAAAAAATATATATAAACATCTGAATTGGGAACCTTCCTTCTTTTTGAAGTCGATGTTTTGAAGTCGGTGGTTTGAAGTCGGTGGTTTGAAGTCGGTGGTTTGAAGTCGGTGGTTTGAAGTCGGTGGTTTGAAGTCGGTGGTTTGAAGTCGGTGGTTTGAAGTCGGTGGTTTTTTGTTTATTTCTTACCCATGCATGCATGCATGCATGGGTAAGAAATAAATGTGGATTTTTTTCATAAATTTTAATCGACTTCAAAAAGAAGGAAGGTTCCCAATTTTCATATATCAGGTGGCAAACAATACTGAACAAGTTTAAAATTATGAACAAACCTGCGAATAAACTTCCTGCTCTGTCTGTTGCTTGGCCTGGGGCTCTTTCATCTCACGATGTCCTCGTTGATAAGCGTGCAGTATCTCCAAGAAACGCTTATACTTGTCTGGCTGTCTCGAGAACCGTGACTATGGAAAACACGAGGCCAGGGTTAGTTTGTACGGTAATAGTGACGTGTATGGGAATGGGAATTGTGGTAAAATCAGAACTCAAAAGAGCAGCCGCTAGTTTTTATCATTAGATTCGAACGGTAATTAATTTCATCATACAGGTTGAAATAATTTATACATATTAAATGACTGGCCTGACTGGCCTTTTGGTCTAGTGGTTAGTGACGCTGACCCGAAGTCGTGGGTTCGATTCCCACCAAGGACAAATATTGTGTAATGAGCACTGTCATTTGTTCTGTCTGGATGTAATTTATCTATAATATGTATGTATGTATTTAAAAATATATAAGTATGTTTATCAGCAGTCTGGTTACCATAGTACAGGCTCTGCCTAGTTTGGGATCAGACAGCCGTGTGTAATTGTGTGAAAAATATACTTCATAAATATTATAAATTACTAGCCTTGACTTATTCATCAAGGCAGAGCGTTTAGACCTCAAAATTGATTTTTTTACCAGAAAATTTCAAATTATTGTTGTGCAATATTTGTGTTGAATTTGAGTTAATTTCAATTTTATAATTAATCTTACCTTGATCTTGTTAACATATTCGATAGCGTGGTTGAATTCCACGGGTTGGCTCGAAGGCGCAGGTGCAGGATGCGTCGTAGCAGCTTGCTGATTGGCCCCTGGGTCATAACAGACTATTTAGCAACAGCAAATATTTTAAGGAAAGTTGTGGTATTTTTGGGTTTAAATCAGAACTCTTTATGAGCAGCCGCTTGTTTTTATCATTAGATTCGAACGGTAATTAATTTCATCATTTTTAAGATTCCAATATAAAGACGTGATGATGATCAAGACCTCAAATTTCAAGTCATAACTTTATATTAATTTAGTGTCTTTTTCTCTCCTATCTCTACAATCGTACCCTTCACCAATATTAGTCTGTATTGTGGGGATCTAAAGGACTCCTGAGCGGGAGTGAGGATGGGGAGGGAGGCGTTAGGGGTGTCATTGATATGCTCAAAACTGGATCAAAAGAAAATTGCAAGCCAAAGGCCAGGTTGGCTAAGTAAATTTTGGTACCAGGTAAACCCATATTTAAAAGTATACATACCAGGTGTAGAATGATGAATAGCAGCTGCTTCAATCTGCTGGTGAGCTTGAGAGATCTGGTGCAGAGTGTTTGTGGGGGCAGCGCTGACGGATAGGTTGTGGACAATGGCATTGCTAACCGACCTGGGTCAAAATAAATTTATTGTTAAAAGTAGGTCATAATATATTCAATCTTAACGCTATAATAGTACTGTAGTGCAGGGGAAAATGGGTCCTTCATCATCACATCATCATCAACAGCCTTTAATAGTCCACTGCTGGACATGGGCCTCTCATTAGAAAAGAGGTTTTGGCCTACTATACCACGCTGGCCCGACGGTTTGGTATGGGTCCTAGCACATACTTAATAAAAACATAGCATGAGATGTTATAAATAGACTACTGATAAAGAAATATACTATTTATATATTATAAAGAAAATAAACATACAATAAATTATTTATTCTGACTTAGAATAGATGCCACGACCTTTTGACGACTAGACTAACAAACTATCAAAAGGGGGTAAGCTGATTTAACTTATCGTATTTTATAGTTATTTAAAATCTGTTAGAAAATCAATGTGTGCTTAAGACTAGATTGAGTTTAATGATCTGAAAAATATCAAACGTTAATTTTATTATTTCGTTGGTATTTGTGTCTTTTGTCTGCAACAACTGAACAAAGTAATAAATTAAACAGTTATTTTACATATTTTCTTGTTGTTACAATCTTGTCAAAATATTATTTAAAGACACATGTTTTACAAGTGTAATTTTATTGTCGTAAGTGTTCGAAGTCGAAATTATTATGCGACGAAGGCTGCACTGTTGTTCCATTCGAATTTATGTTGACAAAAAACGTTATTTAGGGTTTTTTCGCCCCTTGCTTGTTTGTTCTTTCTTTACAGCTTCATAATGTTCGGCAATGTTCATAGGTCATAATAACCGCTTTCTACCAGGCGAACATAATGGAGTAATTTAGCGTTCCAATGCCACGGTTAACGCTTACCATCACTGCCGGACTGGTATTAATAGTTGGCCATCAACATGATATTATCTACATATGGACAATCTTTCTCCCAATAGTGATAAAAACCAAGACAAAAGTACTATGTATGTACAAATCACAGAAATTACGTTTTATGTAATAAACTAGCGGTCCCGTACTTTCTCTTAAGTTTATGGTCCCCTCCTCAGCTTACAGAAGCGATATTATTTAGATTTTATTCGAATCGTTACACATCTATAAGTTTCAAACGTTAAAATCACAGAATTATTCTCGGCACGGCTTTAGGGGTGAGTGACCCGAGACAGCTGTGCATTGCGTCATATTCAAGCGGTTCCCATTTACATAACAATACTTTATAAATGTTGTACGGTCGGATATTAAATTTCTTTCATATTTTATTAAAAATTCTTTTTTTTTTATTTATAAAAAGAATATTGTTTTACTTGTACAATTCGAGAATAATAGATTTGTTTAAGACTGAATAGGGGACATGTTACTTAAATAATATAGTTTATAGGATTTATTGTACTTTATAGTTCCATGTGGTGATGGATTAAAAATACGGATTGTCGCCACCTCTATTCATCCCGTGGGTGTAGTAAGAGCCGACTAAGGGAACAAACTACGCAGGACAACAGCACAGTAAAAAGGTAAAACTTGAAACAAACCCTATACCAACCTGGCTAGCGTGGTATAGTAAGCCAAAACCTCCTTTCTAAGGAGAGGCTTATGTCCAGCAGTGGACTATTAAAGGCTGTTGATGTGTGATGTGATGTGATTATACTTTATAAACTAAAATAAGTACAGTATTTTATTACATTTTCTTTACTTGTAAATAGACTTTAGAGAAACGAAGTCAGTACTAGCCGACTGTTTAAAATGATTATTTTAGAAAGCAACACTACGCTTAATCATAAAGCAGCTAAAGCGAGATGAATACTACTAGTAAATACACTATTTATTAGATGTTATTAAAACGTAATTCTCTTAGTTACGCCTCTACTTATTTCCAAACATTTTAATAACTTGTGATAAAAATTGTTATGACTGTTGATAGCTTTCGAAATGTTTTGTATTTAAATTGGCGTTAATTTTAGTGCTGTAATTTTGTATCTAAAAAATACGATCCAAAACTATTTTAACGCTTATTTCTATTTTTATATTTCGAGGATAACCTCGACCGAAAAAATTGAATTTTAAATCTTTTGATGCCAAATGCGTCTGGTACATTTTAATTTTGTCATTTACGAACCTGCTTGACAAATTCTTTATTTGGGAGGGTATGTATCGTATTTCTTCTATTTTAATATGAAGAAAAAATACCACTCAAGAGTGGATTAATGAATAAAAAATACAGTTTATTAGAATTCATAATGTCGTAGCGGTATTGGAAGTCGGCTATAAGAGTTAAATTGATTTCGTATTTTATTTCGTCTTTTAAAATACATAACCTCTTGGCCTTAATTTTACTGTAATTATTACTTACTACCAGTTTCCCTCAGTTTCACCTGCTTTTATGATCAGTTCCGCTTCTTATAGTAGTAGTATAATGTTACATAGCAAACCATTCAAAATACTCTATACAATACAAACATAATGATTAAAATCTAAGTTCAGAAGATCAGTGCAGTTAACAAAGACCAAAACTATTCAGCTGCATAAATTATACCAGCTGATCCACGCAACTTCGGATGCGTCTCTCAAAAGGAATAAATTTTCCAAGTTTTTATTCAACATTATTCATTGACGCTAAACTCCTATTGGTCGTAGCGTAATGTTATTATAGCCTATAGCATTTCTCGATAAATATATAGCCTATTTAACCAACACAAAGATTATTTCAATTCGAACCAGTAATTACCGAGATTAACGCGGACAACCAAACAAAACTCTCCAACTTTATAATATTACTATTGAATTATAGATTGTGTAGAGTCTACACTGTAGACTATAATTCGAAATAGTGAAATAAATATTTATATTAAATTTAAAATGTTAAATAAGTGGAATAAAACGGTTATAAAATCATGAATATACATACTGCTTCTTTGTGAGTGGCCCGCTACAGTTAGCATGCACAAAATATTTCATATAAGCATCATATTGTAAATAAGTCTAGCATTTTGATGGATATTTATTAAGCCGAGTGAAGCACGTAAGATTTGAGATTCTAATTCGATTTGGGATAATCTGTTCTCATATTTCTTTCGTAAAGGAATAAATATTAGAGGAATAAAATCAAAAAGAGATATGTAATTTATTTAATGTAATAAAATAATAGATAAATAATCGAAGAATCTCAAATCCTAGTCGCCACTGAGGAATATGGAGTGATCGATAGAAACACAAATGGCAACCGGTGGCACGTATTTTCGCATACTAACGACGGTAGTTGTAACAATTATTAAAATTAATTAATTATTATTATTGTAATTATTTCTAGTTACCCACTATTTACTTACACTTTATAGATTTAGGATTAGAAGGATAGGATTAAGAAGAGTACGAGGTTCTCAAAATTGAATATTTTGAATGTATAAAGTATTGTAAAATCGCGGACTTAATACCACAGGCATTTTTTCACAGTCTACCTTAGGGTGGTGCGGGTTAAATTACCCGCACCACCCTAAGATAGACTGGTTTGGTTGTATTCACAATTGGTTCATTTTTTTAATGATAGAGGCAGACGAGCAGAAGTAATAAAAAAATTAATTAAAATGTCAAAGCTTTAAAATGTTGTGGCGTAATGTGAAGACGGATTAAGAATACGGAGTGTCACCACCCCAATTCATCCCGTGGGTGCGTAAGGGCTGACTAAGGGAGCAAACTAGGCAGTGTGTCTTTCGATACTTCTTAGCTTAGAGAATGACACTGGGTATATCAAAAATAATAAAAAATTTAATCGCCTGTTTGTAAATTTTAAGTATTTATACAGTCGGATTTTTCAATTTTTACTCAACTCGACACAAAAAATAAGGTTCTTTCGAAGGTAATTTTTTATGTGTACTGTAGGGTATAATAATGTATAAAATCACAATCAACTGTGATAAATCATAATTTATAAAGAATATAACCACCCCTGTTATAAATTTACAAAACCACTGCGACCAAAAAACGTAACGTGATTTTTTTTAATAAAAATAATTTGGATAGATTTTGTTGGCATTTATCTTTGTCTCTGACCAAATCCCAATCACAGTTGAAATCACTGACTTTTGACACCAACCATCGTATGAATATGATTTCAAAGTAGCAATAATTTCCATGTCTCGTCTTCTAGAGCCTTTTTAAGGCTGTCATTTAATATTGAAATCGATACTCTTAGTGTCAAAGCAATACATCACTGTACGCCATATGTAATCAATACAGATATTATCTGATATCACGTTAGCTCATGACATGTAGTGATAACAACATAATAAGATAACATTATGAATGTATATTGTTTGTTTAACAACTTACATGTTTTAGTCAAGTGTGTAATTGTGTATGTGTTTGATGGTTGAAGGAAAAATACTAAATCTATATTTAACTAATCCTTAGAATATTGTAAGGAGTTGGAACATCTAAAAGAAGGTTTTAAACAAATGTAACACCTCCATCAAATATTTCTAAAAAAAAATATGATAATATTCAGCTTTCAAATAAGTTAGTAAATCGAAATCAGTCTATTGGTTTAAGAACTGTGTTGACTCAAACACACATTCTTGCGTAAGACAACATATTATAAAGTTTTCGATAAATCTAACTCAAAAAATGTTTATTTTGTGCCTAATTCTATCGGTAATCTACCCTCCAACAAGGTGTTAGGGAACAAAATTAAAAATAAACTCATTTCCTTTAAAAAAAGCAAAAGCCCGTAAGATCCGTGATATATCGTCTGATCACATATGTATAATATTTATATGTATGTATATGTGTGTGTATTTGAAAGAAAAACAATTGAATTTATGTTGTTGGAAGTTTTCGTAACGGTTTTGCAGTTTATATGGAAAACTCTTGTACTCTGTGACTCTCTGTTAAGCATAGGAGCTTAAACACATTTTTACGCTGATGTTAAACAGATGTATCCACTGGTATACAAAGGTATCCACCGGTATGCAGAGGTATTTACATTACGCAAGTAACATTAAAAACTTTCCTGACAAGATATTTCTGAGACATAACAACTTTGATACATATATTATTTATAAATCGCGACATCATTGTGGGTAAAATCAAAGCATAAAGCTAAGCATCGGAGAATAAGCTTGACCTGTATAAGTTGAACTGGTATTGTATAGGCTTATATTATGACAAGTGCAATTGGACTACTTGAGCATTCTTTTTAACTTTTTTATCTGTAAACCGTTACGTATATATTATTTTCGATACATATATATTATTTTACTTTGCTAAATATTTGACAAAACAGACATTGTTGCTATTGTGTGTGTTGATCTATGACTTTAGAGTTTACACAAGACAAGATTTTAAATAATTTTATGAAATAAAAACGGTTTGTTTGAACTTTTGTGTTTTTTTTGTACTTCTATGTTTGAACTTGTAACATTAATGTTTGCTTAAAAATACAAAGGATATATTACAATGAAAAGCACTCACTTCTGTCCAGAGGATACAGATCCTCTTCGCCTTTGGTAGCAATGAGAAAGCAGAATATAATGTTTAAAAACAGCTAATGAAATAATATCTACAATAATTACTTAAGGTTACATCGGCTTATATGTCAAGGTACAAATAAAATGGCTGTAATTTACTTTGTTTTGTTATATTCATATTATGGTACTATTGTGAATAATCTAAGTTCTACTATCATTAAGCTGCCCATTACTTTTACTTTTTAATTAAAAATGGCAATGATTTAGGAATAGTTATGTATGACATCATAAGTTTTTTATACAACTTTTTATAGAGCACACGGTCTGAGATTTAATAAACAGTAGTTGTCATTAGCGACTCATTGCAGAAGTAAAAATAAAAATATTTACTGTAAGTTAATATTTTCTTATCTCAAAGTTTAGGTGGTTTAAATTATTACAGCCATGCTTTAATGAAAACAATACTGTTTATGTTTTATAGGACAAGTTTTAATTATACATACTAATAATTTAAACTGCTACAGTCTATTTCGAGCAATCATGATAGATAGGATAGTGAGGGCGTCGATAGTGATAGTGAGAGTGCGGATAGTGGTGGTGTACTTACTGCGCGACAGGCAGTAGGTGGACGAGCTGCGGCTGCGCGGGCGCGTGCTGCACGCCGAGGAGCACGTTGGGCGCGCCGAAGCCCGTGGGCGAGGGCATCGACACCGATACCTGTACCAGTAACGGGTTGAAACATCACATTGTATGCTTTCCTGATAGTGATTGCATTTATTAATTATACATAGTTCCTTAACTATAAATGACTAAAATATGAATTATTATTATTATTACCGAACCGAAATGCTTAGTTTTATAGTTAGTTTATTTATCAATGTAATATCAACACCCAGGACAAATAATTATGTAATAAGCTTTTTCATATTTTGTTTTGTGCCTGGGTGTCGTTTATGTATAATATGTATGTATTAAATGAATTATAAACATGTTAAGCAGCAGTCTGGTACTAGGGTACAAGATTGCTACTTTGGGATCAGACACTCGTTTGTAAGATATAATTAACTTTCAAAGATTTTTCATTGAAATAACACTGTCAAATCTGCTCACAAAATGGAAGAATTACATAATGTGTACTTGACAAAACGGGTGGCTTTGTTATGAGAAGAGAGAAAGTAATTCTAGAATGGTCTTTAACACTCACCTGTCCATTACTCTGCACTTCTATCTTATACCCCGGGGGTAGAAAAGTATTGAAACCGACAATCAGCTCCGGATGGCCCTTGAACAGATTCGATACTCTTGTGATCACTCCGGGCGTATCGATACTGGAAAAAATTTGAAGGTTTAGCCCCCTATAACACACGAGAGAAATGTATTATATGAAATTTTATACAATCAGTTACAATATTATTGCAGCCATTAATTTTTTCATTGTATTTCAAACGGTAATTTTTATCATCATTTTATTAATGTAAACTCTAATAATATCTACTGTTTTAATTTAATGTAATGTAAAATGACAACAGGTCGTATAAAATTACGCCTGAGTATGCAATATGACACTGGGACCAATACATTTGTATATATTTGATAGTGAAATCAATTCTTTAAGTAACTTGACTGCACGGATGGCGTATTGGTTTAAGCGGTCGCCACGCAGCTGACTACTACGCTGAGTGTTGTGGGTTCAAACCCCACAAGGGACGACACTTAGTGTGATCCACAAATTGTTGTTCCGAGTCTGGGTGTTGTTTGCGTCCCTTTCATGTATGTTTGTAAAGTCCCTCGAACAGGTTCCTAATGCGGGAGTTGTCTTTTAAAAAGCAAGAATACAACTGTAGGTTCCTGTGTAAGGTTACTGCCACATTACTGGCATTTCAGTGATCACGCAAATTGCATCTTTTATATGCTTTCTATAACAATAATGTTTCGGAATTCAAACATATTGTTTACTGTGAAGACTCAAAGTGAAGAGGCATGTCTCCTGTTTTTGGAATCTGTTGTGATTTTTTTTAATTACATCAACCTATTTGAATTAAATGCAATATGTAGGTTAAATAGTTTTAATAAGTGATAATTATACTTACGTCTGGCTCTTAAACTCTTTCATAATATCCAAGAAGTCATTGTACACTTGGGGCTGAGTGTTGAACTTGTATTTAACTTGATCAAGGTACGACAACGCATCCTCAACCTTCAACCTTTGGAACTGTGCCCCGGCAGGAGGCTGCGCTCCAGGTGGGCCAACACCGGGTGGTCCAACTCCTGGAGGGCCAACCCCTACTGATGGTGGCGGGATTGGTGCTGGGGCTGGAGACTGGCGTCCAAGGGCCGCTGGTAGAGATGCAATGTTTGGTTGTTGGGGCGGTAAGGCCTGCTGGGTAATAATTGTTTTATTAGAAAAAAAAAAAAACAGTATATTAAAAGTTATAACATAGAAAACAACCTGTCTGTTTTGATGTGAAGGGGGGTAAAAGGGGGTGGAAGTTTGTATAGGGGATCAATAACCGCTAAACCGATTTAGATGAAATTTGACTATTGTTGGAATTAGTGGTAAAAATAATATCGACTTTACTGCGGTGCGAAACATCAAGCAATGGCTGCCTATAGAATCTGTGTGAAAACAGGGAGGGGTACTACAAACCTCGAAATTCTGAACTCCGCCACTTCAGCCGTATATTTTTTATGTACAGCAGCAAAAGTATGTTCGCCAAACAGCAAAGTTATCCCGTACTTGGTTCGACAAACTATACGTCCATAACAAAGACTCGTAATAAAACTATTGTATGAACAAGTTGAATGAAAGAAATGTTTTATGTTATCAAGAATTAAATATCGTACGCGTCGTATCGTAGGCTCGACTGAAGGACGAACGTAGTGATGAGGAAAATGATCTACATTCGAACGGGCTTTGAACTTTAGAAGGGTGTTTAAAATACCTTGAGCGCTGAGATGAAATTATTATGAACTCGTAGGGATATTTAAACAGTGACTATTCGGAGTAATTCAGTAGGTAAAACGCATGAGTGCGCGTTGAAAAATTATCATATAATATAAATAGGTCTTAGTTTTGCTTCAAAATTTAGAATTGTTTAGTTTTTATTTTTAGTTTTATTATGTTTTAAGTTTGACGCCAGACAGAGATAAGGTACAGAATAGGTAGAAGTTTCAAGTTTCCTCTAGTTTTCAAGAAGTATGACTTATGATTACTTCGTGGAAACTAGAGTGAGAAAGCCAAGACCTCCCGGCATATGAAATGTGTTGGCACTAAGGGGGAGAGGAGGAGTAAAACAATATTGGAGAAACAGGTCACGTAATCTGGGTAAATTCCATATCAGGGCACTTGACTCGAGGTAATCAAGCGGGGTGGGGTGGAGTGGAGTTCACAAGATTTTATGACATGTGACAATGTCAGCGACAGAAAAGTAGAGCAGACTGAGCAAAGCGAAGAACCCTACTGCAATAAACTTTGGAAACCACTTAAAATCAGGACCGTGATCTTGTTTACCGCTTTAATTCTATAATAAAACTGTTTTGTAAGATAATATTACAGAGACCTCGTTTCAACTAATACCTATTAATAAATTAGGTTCATAATATTATTTACACAACAAACTAAATATAGTAATATCAAGCATTAAATTAGTACGCGCCGTATCGTAGGTTCGACTGAAGGACGAACGTAGCGCCATGAGTAAAATGACCTAAATTCGAACGGGCTTTGAACTTAAGAACCGTTTACGTTTATTCTCTGCAGTGTTGTCCTGCGTAGTTTGCTCCATTAGGCCGCTGTTACTCGGGCACGTCGTCATCGCAGAGGGAACATGGGGTTCCCACACGGGGAGGGGGGGGGGGGGGTCGTCTACCTGTTGTTGTAGATGGCCCGAGGTATGTCGGGGCACCAGGGACTTCCTTTCTAGGGTATACCTGGTTCCCCGGCTATTAGATTTAGTCGGTTCGAGTCCGACATGCCACCGATAGGTGGTATCCGAGGGGATTTCCGCACGAAAAAAAAGGCGGCTGTTACTATACCTACGAGATTAATAGGGGTGGTGGCACTCTGTATTCTTATTCAGTTACCACACGAGTACCCTTACCCAAAATCAGGAGGGGTGGGATTGGGCTCCGGTAACCTCAACCCCTAGTTAAAAAACAAGACTGCTTAACACCGGTTTTCTGTAAGGCCGTAATAACTAGTGATGGAAATTATTGCTATTACTAAGTCATAATCATATGATCATAAAATTGGTTTAAGTCACAGCGATTGTCAGCATTGATAAATCACTACTGGAATTCGGTCATAGACAAAGACAAAGAAAAACCAAGCTTTACAACCTTAGTATTTTTTTAATTTAGTTCTTTCGCGAGTCTGGCGCTAGCATAATCATAAACTGGTTTTGTAAATTAGCCAGTGTTGTGATTATATGATTTATAAATCATATGATTTATTAAAAGTGATTGTTATTTTTTACCATCTCTAGTAGTAACACTCCGGTCGAGCCCTCCTCAGTTCCTCAGTTTGGGTGTTATTGGCACTTCGCCGTCAATATCTGTCTAGTTTATAAAACGTAACAAAACAATGTTTACTAAGTGTTCGTGAAAATTTTATTTTTAATGATACTTTACTAAGGTATATAAATAGATGACAATATCAGTGTGTCGTGTTGTGACATAATTAGCTTGTAGACTACAGGTTTAAATATAAATTTACTTTCGCGGTGTGGTGCCGTCCGAGAATAAACGTACGGCGGTCGTAGGTGTCATAAATAAATAAAACGACGTGTAGACAAATTGAGAGCGATTATAAATGTTTATTTATGATATCTAGGTGAAAAACAAACATACAATTTTGTTGACTTATACAACTGTTTGCCTTTTTTTGGTATAATTTAAATTAAAACTAGTTTTTGTGTGATATATACAGCTTTTATCTTTATCAGTAGCATTTATTTATATCGTAATCTAATACAATAACGTGAAAGAGCTTTTTATTGTTAAATAGTTTGTGTTCTCTCGGAAACTACAAGTGAATTTCAAGAATTATTTAAGTGTTTGATAGATTTATTTATTGAAGAATGTCATAAGGTTATGTAACATAAAACAACAAAGCATGGACGCAAAAATGCGGGTAAAACTGCGACAAACGCTTGGTGAATAACCCTCAACAGTCGGGTCATAATAACAGAAAAGTACAGAACAGTATGGACCAAACATAAAGGAAGAAATGACATTCACAATAGACAGAGGAAAATAGAAATTGGTGCTTATTTTGCTGAAACGATTCAATTTTCAGGCGAATTAACAAAGCTAATGTAACGGTCTATAATTCCTAGTATTCATATTTAAAAGAAAAAGTATCTCGAGTTGTTGTTATGAAGTAATTAACTTTTATCGGTTCTTAAATGACGGAGTTCTAAATTAAAAAAGACAATAAAACAACATTACACTTTCTTTAGATATTTTTTTTAAGTTAGATAAAAACATTGAGAGATAGGAGTACTTGTTGGTGGTGTATAAAATGTAATTAAACTTCTAAATATTAAAACGTACTTTATTTTTGTGGGTGTCCAAACCCCACTCGGGCCCTCACTTCTATTCCCCCTCCCATGGAATTTGTGGCGAGCGGTGTGTCGGAATCGAACCGGCTAAAACCACAAGGTGTATTTAACTGCGCATACTATAGGAGGGACCCGAGAACAGCTTTTATGATTGATAAAAAAAATACACTGTAAACCCCCATCGGGGTTTGCGGTGGAGCATTGTGTCAGAATCGAACCGCCGAAAACAACACGGGGTACCATACTGCGCCTAAAATAGGAGAGATAAGGGAACCTTTTTTAATCAAGACACCAACCTTAAGCCGCTGTGGCACTTGGGGCGGCGGGGGTTGCTTAGCTGCATACTGCACTGTTCCCGTCTTCATGTAGTTGATGACGGCAGGCCCGCTGCTCGCTGGCCGGGCAGTCGTTCGGGCAAAACTGTTCCCGCCAACACTTAGCATGGTCGGTGCACCTGCTGGATTGGAAGGAAATTTATTCACGCTGGTTTCTTACAACGGCTGGATAGATTTAGATGAAAATTCGATTACCGGATAGATTAGTCTGGAGGAAGTGTGTGGAGGGAAAGCTTGCGTATTTATATGATGGTAAAAATAATGTGACACATTGTACACATAGTCTTCTGACCCTCAAACTAGGCAGTGATGCTACTTTGGTAACAAGCTGCTGTTTAACATACTTATGTTTCTAAAATCGTGATCATCACACAATTATTCGTCGTAAATGGGAATCGAACCCACGACCTCTCGCTGAACAGTCAGGATCACCGGACGGGCTTTTCGTCGTTTGAGCTTCGAAGGGTGGCTATGCAATTGTGTCTTCAGTGGGGTCAAGTCCATTTTCGGTGGTAGTCTCTTACTATCAGAAGACCCGTGTGATCTATACACTAAAAATTAATATAATTAAAAAATATACCTCGTGCTGCATGAAACAAAAAAGTACTTATTTAGACACCTTCAGCCATTAGTACATTGAACCATCAGAATGTTATGGAACTAACTCAAAATGCAATTTGTAGGAAATCATTAAGAAAGCCTTGAAAAAGAATGCATCCCTTTCTCTTCTCTCTTCCTTCCTTTCTTACCCATATCGCAGTCAGTTTATGGACAAATCAGAAGTGTAAAGAGTGAGTTAATTTACATTCAGTCTACTGGCGCGGAATTTTAATTTATTTTGTGAAAAAATATTTAATAACATACAGATGATAAATCTGAATGAAGTAAGGCCAATTTGCATGATATTTTTCAGATTTACGTGAATATTTAAGATTGTAAAATATCATCAATCATCAACAGCTTATAAAAGTCCACTGCTGGACATAGGCCTCTCCTTAGAAAGGAGGTTTTGGCCTACTATACCACGCTGGCCAGACGGGTTGGTATAGGGTTTGTGTCAAGTTTTTCTTCTCTTTGCAGTGTTGTTGTCCTGAGTAGTTTGCTCCCTTAGTCGGCTCTTACGACACCCACGGGATGAATAGGGGTGGTGACATTCCGTATTCTTAATCCGTCACCACACAGATAGATAATAGATAGACGGATTGTTAAATATAAACAGTCAGTATGTATACTATTGAGTTAACCAAAGAGTTTTAATTAAAATCGTTTATTAAAATGTGGTCAAATTTTTACATTTTCGTTATACAATGAGAAACTTACACATCATCTGAGATTGCGACTGGGCCATTGGGTGCATGTTACTGGCACTTGCTTGTTGTATCTGTAACAATACAAAATACAATATAATTATACAGAAAAGTAAAATAAGTACGGTAAAAATTGAATCTTTATTTCGAGTCGCCCGACGTACAAAAAACAACGCAGGACACCAGCACTGCAAAAAGAAGGAAAACTTGAAACAAACCCTATACCAACCCGTCCGGCCAGCGTGGTATAGTAGGCCAAAACCTCCTTTCTAAGGAGAGGCCTATGTCCAACAGTGGACTATTAAAGGCTGTTGATGTGATGATGATGTGACGTACAAAGTACTCCCGATAACATTTGGAGTCGCCCGATTGGGAAACTAAAATTTGAAGTCGCCATATTTGGAAAGTGTCTCCAATACCATTTAAAGTCGCCCGCTTAAGAAAGTACCTCGTAAAAGATTAGGAAATTACTTCCAGTAGCATTTGAAGTCGCCCGAGTACCACCAATAATGAAGTCACCTGATTGAAAGCACCTCTAATAAGCTGTAAAACTGTAGTTGATAGTGAATACAAAATAGTTACTCGCGGAAGGGTTTATATTTTTATTAGGATCAGAAGAATATAGTAATTCTTAGAAGTGTAGCAGCGTTTATAAATGGGGTTAAAACTACTAAACACTCACTTCATTCAGCTTCTCCCCCCTTAAAATATCGTGAAAACTGTGACGGTAAGCACCGACACTGAGGCAGTCATAACATCTAAGACAATTAACTTCCTATAAGCTTACATAATAAGTAAATATTATGAGCGTTTATTACGTAGTAAATTGTATGTGTGTGTGTGTGTATTAAAGGATAAAATTCTTTATCAGTTTTCCTGCTATGATTATAGGTATAACTGGTTCGTACGTTTATAACAGGAAAACTATGAATAAATATACGTTATACATAAAATCTTTACCCCATCCCTTTTTGAGTCAGAGGGTTAAAAAGAAGGGCGGGAAAAACTGGTATGAGACAAGAATAAAGTGAAATGTGAATTACAAAGGATCTCGAACCACAAAGTTTGTGAGAATACCCAATTATACATATCTTAATCATTGTTGTCACAACCACGACTAATTGAAAACAAACACACGTATGCAGAACTCGAGAAAAGTAAATAAATAAAAAAAAATGCCAAGGACACGTTTAGCGGAAACATTCATTTTGCTCGCAGTTATTTCTATTAATAACAGCGCGAGTCATATGTATTGGCGGAGATATAATGTAGCTTTTGTTTACTATGTGTTAAATATACATATATTTTTTTTAAAGACAACTCCCGCACTAGGAATAAATCCTGTGTCGCGGGGGACTTTACAAACATACATGAAACGGACACAAAGAACACCCAGATTCAGAACAACAATTTGTGAATCACACAAAGTGTCGTCCCATGTGGGAATCGGACCCACAGCACTCAGCGTAGTAGTGAGCGGCGTGGCGACCGCTTAAACCACTACGCCAACCGTGCAGTCATATTATGCAGGTTTAGTGATAAATCTGAATGTTGAACCAGACGACGTTGGTTGGTGAAATGATATGAGGATGTAATGAGGATAATCATTTGTTGTTCCGGATTGTATTACCTATTTATCAGCAGGCTCAGCCTTGTTTGTGATCGTCTAGGTGGTGTGTGAGATGTTTTGGACAAGGATGATTATGACGACGTTTCAAAATCTATTCATCACATCACATCAACAGCCTTTACTAGTCCATTGCTGGACATAGGCCTCTCCTTAGAAAGGCGGTTTTGGCCTACTATACCACGCTCGCCAAACAGGTTGGTATAGGGTTTGTTTCAAGTTTTCCTTCTCTTTGCAGTGCTGTTGTCCTGCGTGGTTTGCTTTTTAGTCGCCTCTTACGACACCCATGGGATGAATAGGAGTTGTGACACTGTATTCTTAATCCGGATTCAAAATCTATTTAATATGTAGTAATAAATAATTGCAGTTCACCCACATTAATCATCACCATCTCTGCTCCTAAAGATCAAAGCCAAATTAAGTACCCAACACAATTTTTCAAGAACTCGATAATCAAGTTCAAAAAGAACTTTCCAGAATAGACTGAAGGTTTCAGAGCAAAGGGCTTTCAAAGTATTTAACCCAATTTTAGTGTAGATGCACTTGTGAAGTTCACGAAGTAAACAATTTTTATCTAGCATTGTTTCGTTAATGACCGATTTGTTTGATGAAAGCCTTCAAGTCTTTGATAATATCTATAGTGACTTGTAGATTCCAATATGTTAAGGGGAGTCCATTATCTAAATCGCTGACGAGATATTTGGCAAAGAGATACTTTAAATGCTATCCGTGTGATGGATTACGAATACGGCGTGTCGCCACCCCTAATCATCCCGTGTTGTATGGTAAGAGCCGACTAAGGACGTATACTACGCAGGACAACAGGACTACAAAAAGAGAAGGAAAACCTGATGCGAACCCTATACCAACCTGTGTGACCAACGCGGTATAGTAGACCAAAACCTTATTTCTAAGGAGAGGCTTATGTACAATTGGCATAGCTTCAAATGATAAATCAACACAAACATGTTTATATTAGTGCTTAAAGATAACAAGTCGATAACCCTGCTGTTTATGTATATATGTATATGTTATCTATGTACATAACTGTTTAATAAAATCGATGAGTACAAGATTTTATGTCAGGGCAGTTGGCTACACGTCGTCTACTAAGTAGGACCGGCCTCGGTCGGAGTGGAATGTCGTGCGGTGTTCCGTAGAGTTCGGTGTTAAGGCCCCTCCTGTGGAACATCGGCTACGACTGGGTGCTTCGCGGTGCCTTATTAGATGGTGTCCCTGTCACGTGTTAAGCGGACGACACGCTTGTGACGGCGTGCGGCGACACGCACCGTGCCCAAGTCGTGGAGCGGATCCGGCGGCTGGGACTCGAGGTGGCTCTGCACAAATCCGAGGCCTTGTTCTTTCATGGGCCTCGGAGGAAGCCACCTCATAGTAGGAGGAACTCGTGGGTTGACATCATGAGGTATCTGGGGCTGGTACTCGATGGCCAGTGGGACTTCGGACATAATTTCCGAGATCTGGTGCCTAAGTTGGTTGGAGCAGCGCGTGCATTGGCGCGGCTGCTGCCCAACATGAGGGGACCAGATGACTCCTGCAGAAGGCTCTACTCGGGGGTTGTGCGGTCCTTTATGGGCTGGGCACGCCGTTTTGCACATCTTCTATACGGTAGTTTGATCGAAAACTGGACAGAGCCTAAGCTTTGTTAACCAGACTATTGATAAACATACGTAAATACTACTAAATACATATATGTTATATAAATTACACCCAGACAGAAATAATAAGGGTGGAAATCGAACCCACGTCTTCGAGCTTGGCTTTCAAGGTATAAAGTAACAGGCCCGTCGACCCATTTAGACACCCTACTGTTAATGGCCGCTTAATCAATTAATTAACCCCTTGCAGTCCACTGCTTGTTGTTATCAGTGTGGTGACGGAGTAAGAATACGGAGTGTCACTACCCCTATTCATCCACGCACCCACAAACTACGCACGACACTGCAAAGAGTAAACGTAAACGGTTCTGAAGTTCAAAGCCCGTTCGAATATAGGACATTTTCCTCATGTCACTACGTTCGTCCTTCGTTTTCGTTTTAATTTCTTGTGTGAATAATTTATTAATAGGTATTAGTTGAAACGAGGTCTCCTGATGGTAAGTGACTATGGCCGCTCATGGACACCTGCAACTCAAAGAGTCGCAAGGGAAGTGGGGTTTGGACGCCTGTAAACTTAGACGGTGAAAGGCAACCAATAAACTGTTTCAAACCGGTTTACTGTGAAGCGTCGAAGTATGGCTCTTTCGCGGCAAAATCTTTGTTTTAAGATACTTGCTTGATAAAATTAAACTAAGTACTTTGATATTATTTAATATTGAAACAGTTGTTTTAACATTTTCGGCACGCCGCAAGTCACGAGACGTGTGCGACGCTTCCAATGCTAAAGTTGATATACCCCCTTGTACGCAATTGGTATATCTATTGAGATATCCAACAGGATGGGGGGGTATTATAAGATTATAAATTTAAAAAAAGCTAATATCCCAGCTAAAGCCATATTCACAACATGTTTGGTATCCATAAATTTGACACTAGCATTCCTATTAACCCACGTTGCATGCAAATAGCTCAAACTCCCCTCTTTCTCTGATACTGGGGAGGGGGCGGCAACGTAAATGGCGGTAGTCCATTACCTACCCGTTTGCCCCTCTATACTATAGAATATCCTCCTCTAGTACACCGGTTGATAACAGAAAACCTTGTAAATTTAATTAGGTTACATTTAGATCGTGGATCCTAAATGCACTTCGTAGATGTCAATGTACTCTTTGACAAGACGCCAACGGTGTTACTACTAAGGCGTTCGTGTAATATATTGGTAAGGTTCCAAGGTATCTGTTGGCCTTTTGAATATATTTCTTTACATTTACATCAGTCACTTGATATCACCTGTTAATTCGTTTTGGCATAGGGGCAATCGAGCGGACGGGTCAACTGATCGACACACTGCCCAAGGACACCTGCAACTCTGGGGAGAGGGCATATGGACTCCGGGAAACATACTCGTTCAGTGAAAAGCAACAAAAAAAATCGTTTAACAACGGTTTTCAATGATTCCGAAGCATCTCCCACTTTCTACATATATTGTCACATCTACTTTAGTCAGCTCACACCATTTTTTTTTTTTCCGTGCGGAAATCCCCGGGATACAGGTTCGCAAGCCCACCTCTGAGCTCCTACGGTCTCTGTCCTGTGTTTTTGCGACGTCCTTTTCCCCTCACCCTATGCGTTCCTTACCCTAAATTAACTCCTTTGTCCCGTCTTAATTGGAATACTTCCTGAAAAGGAGTTGGTTTTATACAGCCGATCTATAATAAAAGAAACAATCTAACCTTTTCAAAATGTCACACATTGCGTCGACCTCGAATAAAATTGAATGGGCAGGAAGATTGGTATTATGATGGGCTTCGCTCGCGTGATTATTATTACGTGTTTCTATAACTTTGAAAATGAAGAAATTCCATAGAACCGTTTTAGCCTTTATTTTAGGGGTGAAATTTCCAAAAATCCTTGCTTAGTGGGTGCTTGGAGCATAAAAAGCATCAATTGCCAAAATTTCAAGTTTGTAGCCCCAGCGATTTAGAGTCTGCGTAGATGAATCAGTTACGTCACGGCAAGCAATTTTATTTTGTATAGATTATCTACAACATAATTCTTAATCTTAGACAACTAATTTTAAAGTTCTAATTAGATATAAACCTAAACCTACTATTCCAACAAACTTCAAAATGCCTACTCGGAACTACAAAGCGCTCTAGTATCGGAAATAGAATTGATTTGCAAGCCCGAGGCATCCAGTTATGCGCATGTCATAAAATGATAGGGTGAGGGGGATGGATGACGTCACTATTGTATTGTAGGGGTTGTTGTGTTGCAAGGTGCAATATCCTAATGAATTAGGTGTACAAAGCATTACAAAACAAACACATTATGTAGACAGATGTAAGATTTTATACAAAAATCAATCTGGCAAATTCACGGATGTATTTAATTAGTGTAGAAAAAAAAAATATGTGTGCTAAATATTGATGCATGGTATACGAGAATTTATTGTTTATGAATTTAGATATACCTACTGCTATAACTAATTACCACTAACAAAAACAAACTAGTGTTTTCACCACATAACACCATAAGGATATGTACATATTTGAAGGCTTTTGCCGCGGCTGTATTCGCGATTTTTTCGATTATCGCGGTAAAAAGTAACGCTCTTTCTAAAGAATCAAACTATCTCCACACCAAATTTCATGTAAATAGGTTCAGCGGTTATTGATTCCCCATACAAACTTCCACCTTCCTTTTCATCCTCTTAGATGATTTCTGGAATAAAACTATCGTATGTCCTCTCCCGGGACCTGGAACTATCTCTATACTAAATTTCATCAAAATCGGTTCAGCGATTTAAGCGTGAGATAACAGACAGAGACTTTCCATTTATAATAATATTGGTATGGATTTCTTAGGCACGCTCTGTAGTCTTAAACGGTTTGATGGATTTTGACTTGAGAGATCCTTTTTTAAACTCAAATTCTTAGTTTTTTATTTATTTATTGAGTCTTCCTGCAAACATATTGCATAAGGCGGACTTAATGCCTCAGGCATTTTCTTCCAGTCAAACCTTTGGGTGTATTTAATCGAACGGCCGGTCCTATGTATATTTCCGAAGTCCCTAAACTTCCTTAGATGATCTTTAAACAATTAACACACGAAGTACTGGGTACAAGACCAAGAGTCATAAGACGACTAACTGTGAAGTACCACGTCTGACTGTGACAGTGGCATAACAACACTTAGGTATTGTACAAGGCTGACGAAATCCTTTACTCAGACTGGTGACGATGGGTATCCAGTCTATCGTCATCGAGATACTGAAAATGGAGGTAGAAGTCCTTCCTTGAATATCAGGGGAAGTAGATTCACTATAGACAATAGGTGGAAGATACAATAAGGACGGAGTTATGAGTTTAACATATTAACCGATACATAATCAGTTTTGTCTGTGTGGTGACGGATTAAGAATACGGATTGTCACCACCCCTATTCATCCCGTGGGTGTCGTAAGAGCCGACTAAGGGAGCAAACTATGCATGACAACAAAACTGCAAAGAGAAGAAAAACTTGACACAAATCCTATACTAACCCGTCTGGCCAGCGTGGTATAGTAGGCCATAACCTCCTTTCTAAGAAGGCCTATGTACAGCAGTGGACTATTAGAGGCTGTTGATGATGATGAATCAGTTTATTTGTCTCTGGCCATTATAGCTTCTAAACGGGAAATCGGCTGATTTTATTTTAGATATTTTATTTTTGTATCAAAGGTGAAAACACGGGACTCCTACATTTTGCGATGGCTATATACATATACCTATCCATACTAATATTATTATTGCGAGTGTGTCAGTCTGTTTGTTAGCTCTTCACGCTTATACCGCTAAACCAATTTAGATTAAATTTGGTATAGAGATAGTTTGAGTAAAGGGAAAGGATATAGGATAGTTTTTATCCCAGAAATCATCCTTTTAGGGGGTAAAAGTTTGTATAAGGGGTCAATAACCGCTGAACCGATTTAGATGATATTTAGTAAGGAGATAGTTTGATTCTGGAGGAAGGACATGGTATGACAAAAAGTAGTTTACCGCGATACACGCGGGCGGATCCACGAGCAAAACGTGGAAAGCTATAAATTGAAGAAAATCTGTTCAGTAGTTTGAAGATCATTGATTTGATTATTTCTAGACTTTTTAAGTATACAGAGTTACCGTATTGTAAGTCGGTTCAAAACTGCATGCATTTATAATCAAGGATAGTTATATAACCTATGCAATTGTTAGACTTTTTAAAATCAGTGATACTTTAATTTTGTGTTAGATTTCTCTCAATTCGATTCGGAAAGTACACTAGGTACACGGATGAAGTTCGCAGTCAGTTTCTCAACTTAAAACTTATTCGTATAAAACATAAAAAATTATACGTTAACGTTTTAACAAAAAGAATTCGTCAGCCATTTTGTTTGTGTTACGATGTTATGACGTAAAATAATAATTAACCACGGTTATGCTCGTTTTTTTTTTACGCAAACAACATCTGCGCATTTAAAAATATAAAAGGCATTACGTAGTGTATGATTTTCCTTGGGATCTATCTATAAAATACAGTGTACGAACAAATGGGTTTACTATACTAATATTATAAAGCCGAAAAGTTTGTTTGTTTGACTGAAGGCTCTATCTCAGGAACTGCTGGTTGAAATTGAAGAATTCTTTTAGTGTTGGATAGCCTATTTATGGAGGAAGGCTGTAGGGTAAGATATAAAAAATGCTACCACAAATAGGAGTCGAAATTCAATTAAACATGAAGCGAAAACGGAAAATGTATTCCTTGATTGCCCTTTCTTCTGATTAAGGATCAACCCCTTGAAAAAGGGTGGTTGTAGATCGGCACAGGCTAAACATTTGACAAAACATATTGTTGCTATTGTGTGTGTTGATCTAAGACTTTAGAGTGTAAGACCATTTAAGATATGTATTTTTTTTTTAAATAAAGACTGTTTGAGTTTGTAAACAGTAAAGAAACTAAGGTTTAGAAAGCCAAGTTGTTTGGTAAATGATACTGAGATATCAGGAGCTGGAAGTGGCCGTAGTCGCCTTACATTACGTACGGCATTACAAAACAGGATATAACATGGTCATTTTACAACCTTTACCTAATAATGATAAAAAATTAAAACATCCTTAACGTAACAGCATTTGAACGTAAATATAATTAAAATATTTAATTTTCGAACAAAAATTTAACCTTAGTTTATCAATGTAACGCAATGTTTAAAAATTATCGTTTTTTTTTTTTTGTTAAATTGGCGCCAAAATACACTTTCAAAATACATCATTAACTGGGATAACAAAACATCGACATAATAATACATAACGAGTTTGGATCAGATAATATACCTACTCTATTTTAATGATCTGTTTAAAATAAATATGACTCACAGTGTTGTTTAATTTGTATAATAGGAAGTGCGCAGCGGAGAACAGGTGTATCTTCCCCCCCTACTATCTACACTCCTAGAAGACCTCAGTTAAAAAGCACTACTAGGCTCACAGCTTGCTAGTTGTGTAACAAACAAAAAGGTTCAATTGAAACAAATTAGTTTCATTTGGGTGTCAGCGTTTTTTTAAATTTGTTATTTGAATTTTTACGCAATAGCAACACTAATGCAATCATATGTAGAACGTAACACTAATTAAATTTTTGCTATGTTCGAACTCTATTCAAAATTATAACAGCCGACTCTATTTAATTTAAAAAAAATAAGGACGAGTATCATTATCGCTATCCCGTTACAGATCTACCCTCCCTTTTAGAGGACTCAAATAATATGATACGCGATTCTACAAAGAAAAAGTCTTCTAGGCTGGTGTTCCCTAAAGCAAGTTAGTAGGAAAAAGTATATTTTACCTGTGCTGGATTCTGTGGAGGCATCGGCACAGGCTCATCAGGCCCGAGCCTCGGGACTCCTGTACGCTTCATCATAGCTGCAGATCAGCGATCACCCATAACACGGATCACCTGAAATTCAAATAAAAACATGATAAAAAAAAAGCTTTTTAAGAAGAGAAAAAAAGATTATCAATGCATGTTTTTTTTTTTATTTTTGACTAGGGGCCGCGCAAGGGGCACAGGTAGCACAACTGATCCCGGCGCTTTTTTTTTATACTCAACTCGTACAAATTGCATCATGATTCACCAAAAATGGATTTCTCCACCCTAATGTTTACTTCTAACTACATAACAGCTGTTCGAGATACATTTAAAAAAAAACGTCATAACAAGTCTACACATGTTTCAACAAGTTTGTCTTCGTTCCGTTTATTCTTAGTTGTTTTTTTTTTTATTTGACTGTTTATTGACTGCAACTGTATACATGTAATACAGTTATCTTAATAAATAGTCAAATAAGGCTATTTGTGGTTACTAATTAATACATTAGGTACATACTGCTGTTCTGTATCAGTTTGAAAAAAAAGCGTTGTTTGCTTTTTACTATTGACAACAGGCACCCAACGCTTTTTTTCAAATTTATTAAAATTTATTTTCTATTTTTCAGTTCGGTTTTCTATAAAAAGCGTGTTTTTTAGTTTTTTAAACTATTTTTTTTTTAAATTAGTGTTTGTCATCGATATATCTACAAAGTTTGAACGAATTCTGACCGTTTAAAGTCAGTCAAATTCACGCCCAAAGGATTCGGTTACAAACAAACATACAAGTGAAGCTAATATAAAGTGTGTAAAAATAGGTATTTTTCTTTTCAATTCTTAATATAATTACGTGGGATGGGTACAGATAAGATTGATATTGATGTATGTCAACTGATGAAATGTGTCGTACATATATCGTTATATTTTACAAACACTAAAATTACGTTTAACTAAATTTATATTAATTTTTTTTTTCAACTTCAGTGTTTATTATTTACAGTTCAACTATTTTAATTACTTGTTGAAATTGTTGCTATTTAATTTTGCAATTATTGTTATCAAACAAATGGTTTCATTATATTGTAATTATTTTATATATAAAACTACTATATTGTCCAAGGACTACAAAATTATAATACAGCCTTGGTTGGTTTGCAATCCTTTATCAATTTTTTTTTTTAATTTTTATTTCATTCGGGGTTTTGATCCAGTAAAGATATGCCAACCCCATTGTACCTTGATACATGGTAAACACAAATAATTAATCTATACTAATATTATAAAGCTGAAGAGTTTGTTTGTTTGTTTGTTTGTTTGTTTGTTTGAACGCGCTAATCTCAGGAACTACTGGTCCGATTTGAAAAATTCTTTCAGTGTTAGATAGCCCATTTATCGAGGAAGGCTATAGGCTATATATCATCACGCTAAGATCAATAGGAGCGGAGCACCAATGAAAAATGTTTAAAAAACAGAGAAAATTTATTACTATTGAGAGACGCAGACGAAGTTGCGCGGGTCAGCTAGTCCTTTATCAATAACACAAATTGTCAACTTCAATCAATAATAGTACTGTTGCTATTGTTGATCGAAGATTGTCAAACTTAATAATCATCTATGATTATTATGCTAAACATTGCAAAGTAGAAGAAAGACAGATCAGAACTAAAATGAATACACCTCATGAGGATACCACTGGAAATTGCAGAACATAGAAATAAAATTTATTCTACACCTACAAGATATTTTTTTAAAGAATACCATCAGGTAGATATGTACAGTACAGTGTACAAAAATTATTTGGGTACATTCTACACACTGCTGCCTCATTTCAGACTACGCAGAGCCTACACTATTCTATATTACTGACTAATATTGTTTAATCTTGCACAAATGTGTTTATCAGGGGGGTGGGTCGATGTAGGTCTTAGTGGGGCGTGTTCTTTTTTGCCAGGGAACATGCACCTAAAAAATGCTAAGATTGCCAGCTAGCGCACGCCTAGGTGTACGGAGCTAGGCTGACAGGCGCACATCGACAAGTTCTTCATACACGTCCCCGCCATCTCTAGACTGCCGACGCGGTCTAGTGATGGGCCCACATACTTTCATCTGTGTGGGTCGTCCCCTCCGGGCAATGCTGCGGCCTGTTACGAGCCCCGTACTTATCATCTACCTCGTGACCGCAGCAGCTGAGTATGAAGAACGAAGGCGAATCTTCGGCGCCATAACCGAATCATCTGGCAAAAGAAAGGAAAGGGAAGACAACCCAAAAGGAAAAAATTACACTTACTATGGAAGAAGCAAGACTTAAAGATAATCTACCCCAGGAGGGTACCGGCGAAGCCGGAGAATCCCTCCCTGAGCATAGCTCGGGCTGCCCCACGTATTCTGGGGGGGGCAAAGGATTGCTACCTAGTGAAACTTTACCGGAAAAACCAAAGAAAACATTGACTCAACAATTATTTCATCCAGGCCTATTTCATCGCCAACGATCAGCGTCACTTAGCGAAATAAACCAGACAAAACAAATTAACAACCCACAATTAAAAGGAGATGAGCAAAGCAAAGTATACAACCATAACGCGCCATGGCAACGAGTGCCAAAACAAAAAAGAAACCGCTCTCCTGATGAAAAAGATGTAAGAGCTAATCAAGCCAAAAGAACCCAGCGACGTGAGACAATTATTAACAAACACAGAGGAATAAATAATGCTGAACAAAATACTTCCGCAGAAATAGGAACAAGTAACAGCTTTGAATTGTTAGATGTGGAAGTAGGAGATGCTCCAGCCAAAAGAACACCTAAACCACCACCGATAATACTGTATGGCATTGAAGACTGAAGTTGTATGATTATTTGATGTTATGAACGTCATTCTCATACATTTCCTATACATGATATTGTTTCATACATATTACACCCATATGCAGAAAACCACATTCATCACATTATTTAACTATACAAATGAATGTCTGTTTGTCATATCAAAATAATGGTTTTTTTTTCATGCTTACACAGATTTTTGAACGATATCTATGCCTAAAAACCAGTCTAAGTGAGTTAGACTGGTTTTTAGGCATAGATATCGTTCAAAAACGGCAGCGCTTTTCAAATTTCACATGAACAAAGAATATGTATGAATTTTATACTAAAGTCCTTTATGGTTATACATTTTAGTTACACATTTGTACAAGTATATAAACTATAATAAAACTAAATACTTCAATGCTGAAGAAAATATAATCTAATAATGCTTTCTATAAACTGTAGTAGTTTATTGACCATATTACATCAGGCCCCATAGGAGCCATAGTAGTGGCAGCAATAACCATAAAATTATAATTAAAATGACCATCGAGTTACTGATAGAGAGCGTTGAACTTTCTAGTAATACAATTTATTCTAAAATAAATGTTAAAAGGGCTCAGACTGTGCCAATAGCCAATTCAACTTACAATTGTACCCATGCAAATATGGTGACAAATTAAGAGTACAGAGTCTCACCACCTCTATTGAATCTATAGAGGGTGTTATAAGATCTGATTAAGGGAGTATACTACGCAGGATAACAAGCACTGCAAAGAGACAAAACTTGACACAAACCCTATTCCAACTAGCCAAGGTGGTACAGTAGGCCACAACCTCTTTTCTAAGGAGAGGCCTATGTCCAGCAGTGGACTATTAAGTGCTGTTGATGTATGCAAGCCTGTCCCTGCTAGAGCTATCACCTACATTCCACAACCCATCGGTAAAAGTAATATCCTTTTGCCATCATTGCCTTGTACTTATCTACCTTTTAACAGGCCTGTTGGTCTAGTGGTTGGTTACTGACTGCTAAGCTAAGTGGGTTGTCAGTTTGATTCTCACCCAGGACACATATTGTGCGATGAGCACAATCATTTGTTCTGTGTCTGGGTATAATTTATCTATAATATGTATGTATTTATAAATATTTAAGTATGTTTATCAGCAGATAGGTTACCATAATACAAGCACTGCTTAGTTTGGGACCAGACTGCCGTGTGTGAGATGTGGGAAGTTATTATTATTCCCTTTTCTAGCAAAAATTACTTATTTTCTCATCTAATCCCTCAACTGCCCAGTCTACAACAATAGACTAGCCCTCTTTTCAATAACTGGCACTAAAATTCTAGTTAGAAAAATGTGGGCGTTTAATATACCTTGCCTACCCTTTCTGGGACGAATGTGAGCATTAAAGCAAGCTACAAGTATCAGAAAGTGAAGGAAAACATTGAATTATGAAATATTAAATTAATATGGCATTAAGTCCGCCTCGTGCAAAATGTAATGCAGGAAGTGTAAAATAAATAAAAAAATAAAATATTTGACACAACTAGCTCGAGCACAAAGAATCTTAAATTAAAGTGAATTTAGAGATAAGAAACAGGAAGTTAAATTATATAATATTGCTGTTTAAATTTGTATTAACATTTTCGGCACGCTGCATGTCAGAAAAACAGTGCAACGCTTCCAATGCTAATTTACTATACCCCCTTGTACGCAGTTAGCTATACCAATTGTGGTATCCAACGGGATTGGGGGGATGAAACACATACGTGCTTTAGATTCTGACAAGCAACAATCTACATTTACTTAATTTAGTACCAATTAAGGGAGTTATTAAAGTGAATTCCTTACTTAATAGTTCAAAATATGTACATACTTGAGTATAAATCGAAAGTTCCAAAGCGTGTTTACCGATATGTAACAAGATAATAGTATAACAGAAGCATGTGTTCACATTTTCAGAGGTTATATGAGTGAGCACGTGATTAGGACGAAAATGTATGTAATAAACTATGATTAAAAAATAATACTAAAAGGAAAGCCCAGAAATAAGGAAAGAGTTAGACATATTGAACTATCCGCGTTCCCCTAGCAAGCTTAAGAAACGGTGACAAATGACTGTCGCCTATTGGAACCGCCATTTTTAACAAGTATGACTCATTACATTAACGTTTGTTTTGTTTATTAAATAACTACGTTATCCATGTGATAATTAGGAGAAAACAATTATGTAACACACTTACCGGTTAGTTTTAATACTAGTAATATTTAGAAAATGCACATACGTAATCGGACAGACTCTTTGTCACAAGATGTTATAATAATTGTTATAATAAAAATGTTTGATTATTGGGTTTTCAAGAGCGAAAAAATGTAATGACGTCACGTCCTGAATTAAAATTATTCCTCGCTCCACTTTCTTAAATCTGGCATTTTAGCTGTTCAGGGTCAAAGTAATAAAAATATTCACTTACAGTGTCTTTGCAAATATAATGAAATGTGGATAAGAATACGTCAGAATTATGAGGCAACGTGACTAGCACATAGCGCGCTACCGTGAAGGTAGATATTTTCTAAACTTATTACGCAACTAAAAATATAAACATAAAGGTAAGTACTCGAAAGCTATAAGGCGAGGCATCGTTTATTTCAATTTGGAATTTCAAATCTCCGGTCACAGCACCCACACAGGTTTCGTTCACAAACCGGTCCAGCAACTACGACGATGACACAAACTCGTACTTATTTATAGCGGAAAACGTACACAAATCGATAGCACCCTAGCCCGGTGCACAAGAGCGCGGGGCGCTGCAAAATAAGTAGTATAAGTACTCCAACTTTCAAATACTACTTCAGATTGTTCTTAATTCTGAATATTAATCAATCAAACCTCCCTTTTCTAGAGCACTTTTTCTGCGAGTTCTGCTTTAATATCGAAACAGCCTCAGTCATGGTACAATCACTTACGGATTTTTTAAGTATTATTTTTACAATGAATCATAGCAAGTGGATCTCATTTAAAGAAAACGTTAAAAGCGTTCATGGATAATCATCTTTCGGAATATAGCAGTAAAGTCCGGTTTGTATTAAGCAGAGGGAAACGAGGACGGCGCGGTGGTATTCGTCACCGACGTAGAAAATGGCGACTAAATACCAACAATTACACAGCGCCACTATCCGAACATCAAAGTGAATCAATGTTTTACGAAGAAGAACTGAATTGAATCTAGTTTACTGGACACTGGAAGATTTAAGTCATCATTTATCTGTTGGGAGAAGATAAGAATTGACCTCGGACACATTGATATCAGTAAGCAATAAAATGAGTACATACCGTTCAATATCAAAAGCAGACGCGAAACGATATTCAATCGGATGCAAGGAATCTTCTTGTAACTCAGAAAACGGTCAAGAGACAATGAAAAATGATAAAAGCGCGTCACGACTTGCTCCGAGCGGGCACATTCGTGCGCCTCCAAATAGCGCAACGGCGCAACTTTTTCGAGCGCGGCATCAACACGGTCAGGTGGGCGAGGTTGCGACACTGCCATAGCGCTCTCTCTTTCCCGCAAATTGCTATCTCTTTCGCACCCGCGATACTGCCACACCAAGACAGGAGGGACGCAAGCGGAGCCCTTCCTCGGACAAACGTCGCGCACCGAGCTGCGCGGCCGACTGACTGCTCGCAGCGCCGCCAACCACCGCGGTCCAATAGAGAATCGAGCTCGAACCACAAGACGGAACGGCAACGCCGCCATAGGAATAATAGCAAGCGAAACGGACTTGCAACGATATGAAATGCCATAAACCTCCGCCGCGGCACTGGTGGACCAAAACAAAATCTCCTTTCTCTAAAATTATACAACAGTCTCTTTTGAGAGAACACCCGGACCACTCTGTTTATTTCCCGCCAAAAATAAATGTTCAAAGAAATGGATGATAAATAGATTGGTATGCTCGTTATTTATTTATTTAATGAAGTGAGCACCTACACGTTTTCTTTATTTGATAATTTTATTGTTTTTGATCAATGCACTAAGATTTTTTCCAACAACAAATACGAGTATTTGGACTCGATAATGAAAAAAATCATTGAGAATAATAGGAAAGTTATGAGACTAAATATTCGTGTTTTCCTAAGTAATACATTTTGTTCTAAAAATATTTAAGTAAAATATAATTTGGTACAGTTTTAACAGTATATTTAAGCTAATTATGAACATTCAAAATAGGCCAAAATAGTTTTAAATTATTCCAATTTTAAATTATATTAAAATAAAAAGGTTTAAAGGATCTAATCAGGGAAATCGTTCACGGGGAAAATAATTTAGAGATTCAGCCTTGTTAAAAACCTTTATTTTTGTGATTACCAGAAGAAATCTAACAAAAACCAGAACAAAGAAACTTCAATGAATCTCCAATGTATTAAATCCATATCGGATTATATTGAAACACAGACTTGCCTACAATTAATTTCTGCGTTGTATACAAGGATATTTTAGGAAGTTGTTAGGTTGAAGCACAAAAGAAACCATTATTAAAATTACACATTTTATTTACTCTATAATCTGTCTCATTTTGCAGCAGTTTTCTGTTATAATAATTCCTGCAAAATTCATAATTTGATAAAAAAAAAACTCAATAGAAATTACTATATTACTACATGTATAGCCATTTATAAACTACGTTAGCTCATTCTAAGAATAACGACATTTCTCTACAAGCGATAAAATTTAGTCAGTAGAAACATTATCTACTGTATCACAACTACAAGGAACTAAAAAGCTATATTCTCTATGGAAAATTCAAATAAAAAAAAAACGGGAGTGTGGTAAAAACTGAAACAACTTTTTGTTAATTTATTACAACATTAGAAAGTTTTTTGGTCACCAGTGTAATAATTTCTTAAGAAATATAAGAAGACCTGTATAAAAATATAATATATATATAAATTTAGGAATGTAGGTCTTTATTTAGTATTAAATACAGAAAACTAGCGACAAACTATAGAAGACCAGCCGTAAAGCCTTGGAAGGAAGACCTTGGCCAATTTTGGATATAACAGTAGTATTTGACGCGTTAACGGTAATATACCATGTCATTGTGATGTCTAAAATTCTGAGCAAACACAATACATAGGATTTTATTTAAACATTACCTGTAACTCCAATATTGGAGGAACAGTAGGATAAATATCCAGAATTGTTAAGGTACATTAGGGTGTTAGTTTTGAAAGACTTGTAGGGTTCTTTTACAGTACTATCGAAGCTTTGGTAGAAAATATAAAGAAAACTATTTGGATAATTTATTTAATTAATCTAGTCATTTAGAATAATCAAAATATAGTCAGCCATAAGGGGATCTGATTTTTTTTAAAGTAGCAAATTACTATTACATTAAAAAAATATATTTAAAAATATTTCTTAAGAAAAAGAAGATAATTATTTATGATTTAGATGTCATTTTTACTAACCCTTATTAAATGATCTGATTTATCACGTAAGCAAAGTTGCCTGCTGGCTATACACGCTACCTAAGACCTATAAACCAGTTAATAAGTCAATTTAATTTTGAAATTCAGTCCTACTCCTAATTAAGTGCCGCTCTACACAGCTAGATTTCTTGTAGGTACCCCACTGAATTCAGACCCGTATTGGACACCGTAACATAACTTTGTACTAAATTGATGCTCAATAAAAATGACGAATCATAAATGCCTCGGCTATGGTGATTTGTCGTAGGTCAAGAAAAGCTGCAACATCTTACACATTATAATTTTCGAAACAATTACTATCGAAGGACGTACTACAATAATGTTTTAAGCTTAAGCTAAGGATTTTGTTCTTATTTCTCTTAAATAAGTCTATCGCATTTATTTTAAGTGCAATGGGTTTTTATAAACCTTACCACTCATCAAATTATAGTAATTATACGACTGACAAACTGCAAAGATGTTGCAGATTCTACAAATTAATTCATTAAATTAAATGTTTTTGTTTAAAAGCAAGACATGACGTGAACAGCTACTTATCAGCCGTTATCCAAGTAATTCTTATTTGTTTGCGTTTAGCTCAACTTAGTATAAGTAAACAGGTACACATCCGATCAGTGTTAACCTCAATTATGTGTCTATGTGCGTGTAACACACAAACTAAATCTGAATTAAAACACTAATACATTGGTATTAAGTTTTAAACTCGTTTATCGTTTGTATTAAATTTATCCCATTGTTAAAGTGAGGATACACGATTATAGCCTTGAAACTTCTTATCGAACAAGTGAGTTGACTACGCTACGACTACATACAATTTATTACTCGTCAAGCGCGACGTTGCCAACATTCAGTTCGCTACTGCGTCTTAATTTTACGACGGCCGCCATCTTGTTTCCATTTATCAGATGCAACTCGCGAATGGTGTGATGTGATTTTATGTATTCTCTTTTTGTAAAGTCTAACATATTTATAGATAAATATCTTAAATCTTGATATTACAGCACTTAACCGCACAAACGTTTATTACGTAATCGAGACTTGTTATGCACGAGTATGAAATGCACATATATTTTTCGTGTATGAGTTCACAGTATTTAGGTTTAAGAGAATACAAAAACATAATGGCCATGCTATATGCCATCGACAATGCAAGCGTAACCTAGCCATACCTAGGTATTCATGTGGAGGGCAAAGTGTCGGCGCAATATGGTTGAGATACGTACATTGAGCGGGTCGTGAGCCAGCACCGGGTGTGGAGCTCGCGCCCCGTACTGCCAGGGTAACCCTCCGGCCGACTCACAACCAAATTCATCACAAATACGGTCATTTTCAACGTAAATTCCGCGGTATCGATCACGCACAGACGCCATTTTGAACCGACACTGAGCTGAGCACGGCCGAGCGCGCGACGTTGCCACGTCGCACGTTTCCAATCCGTACTTCTATTTCTGGCTCCCCCCAACCCCCCCGCCACACACCCCACCCTCGCCGTGACGCCGGAGGTCGCCAAACAACGCTCAACAAAACATTCACGATTACAATTTATACATCAACTTCGCGGGTTCTTGTTTAAAAAACTCATGATCTAGTAGGCCTTCGTATTGGCAAGCGGGTGCAGGTGACGGGGCGAAGTGGGGTAGAGGGGGAGCGTCATGTTATAACAGCATTTCCAATGATAAGATAGTAGTTATAGACAACGTATAGATATACGTGAATTGTAATATATCGTCCGAGCGCGCCCGGCTTTCACCAAAGCGCGGGGCGAGGCGCGGCCGCGCAGGACCGCGCCGACATGTGCCATTGGCCACCGCAGAGATCGATAGACAAACACCGACGAGGACGGCGACCTACATCGGATACTGAGCCTTACAGCTATAATAATAACTTGGGTATTTGAGCGATAGTGACTATAAACAAACTACTGCACGAGCACACTGACGTCGACCACGTAGGTACGCACGAACACAGACGTTGTGAAAACGACGCGAGCGGACGGCGAACGCGCTCGACCTACCGATGTATACCATCATTGTATTATGGCACTTTTCTAGAGTCGAAATTCCTATACCGCGACGCGCCCAGCGCTCCCTGCCGAAGGACAAAGGGACGATTTCACACGGAAAACAAAGGGAAATGCCGGTCAACGGATAATAACATATTTTTTGTTTGATAAATTAACTATTTAATAAGTTTTATCGGATGACTAGCGCGTTGCCAAGTCGTCAGTCTGCGCGGCCGCGTACTCGGTACTTATGAAATTGGGGATTTTCTAACTACACATGACGCACAAAATTGATGTCCTTTCTATCAAACTTACATAAAATATACAATATTACATTGAATACAGTGCAGCGTATGGTTTGACCCCAGGTGTGCCTAACGAGTCGGGACCTGAAGAGATTATACCGCTATTTAGATTACGCTGACACTATCACTACACGTATGGAACTATTGGAAGCAACAGAAATATACTAAATAGATGAAATAATAAGCTCAGAACATGAAAAGACGCAATCTGTCAAGCAGTCACTTACCTGATTTTTTACACGAAACGTGTGTATTTCTTCACACAACTCACTGGAACGTCACTCCAAGAGAATTTAATGTCAAAATTTAAGGTATTTTGAGATTTTTGAACAATTTGATGTGCATAAAAAAATTATACATGCCGTTGAGCAATCGTCTGCCGCGCATAGAGACCGAATGCGTACTGTTGGTAAGTTTGGTTTGGTTGGGTTGGTTGATAGGTGGGGGGACGGGCGGGCGGAAAACCGGAGAACGGGCAATCGAGGGAGTCAGAAAGGGCAAATTTTTATTAATTTTAAACTTATATAATTTCATGAACGAATAACGGACAGATTATTAAAAATCATTTTTTGTTTTTATCTGTTGTCTGATTTCATATGAAGATCTACTCATGTGATTTAATATTATAAGTGATTGTCTTGACATTGATATTTTCATGTTACAGGTAACGCACACAGAGAGATTTTATGTCATTGTGTTGTCCATAAAAAAATTGTGTTTACAGTGTTTACAGGTGTGACGTATGTTTTTGTAAAAGTATTCCCTATTTACATCAACATTGAACAAAAAAAATTAGGATGCGGTTTAGATTTGTGAGCGATTGCTATTACTCATAAATAGATTCATTTCAAAGATAATACTCTTGTTGACAAAATATTTTTTTTATCAAGTATGAAGTTAATGATTTCAATATCATCAAGTTAGGTAGCGGAGTATAGAATATCCGTTGCTTTTTAATTCGTTTGCATTATGTATGTCAAAAGCCAACCAACCAATAGGCAATACCAAACTGCGTATTTTTTTTTAGGAAAAATAACCAATCAGAAAAGGGATCGTGTATGACCAGTTTATGACAGTAAATGATAAACTTCTTCAACACGTATTGTAATTTCTTGGACATTTATCTGCATTTTCTTGTAATTTAAACACTTACTGTTAAAATTATCATCAAAAATGCGTGGCTCCATACTTTTTTGCTTGTTAACTATAATGTTCACGATAGTTTCTGCTAGAATTGATCCTAAAAATTTGAAATGTTTAGGTGTGTATTTAATTATTTTTATTTAAATTATTCTGGTAGATTTGTGGTATTTATAAATTATATAATTATTTCAGTGTGCCGGATGACCTTCGAAGAGCTTAACGCGGCTATTCAAAAAGTTGATAAATGGAAAAAAGTGGATGTAAGTATACATTTTTATGACTTCAACGTAGTCGTGTGCGAAGTACAAAAATATAAGTTTGCCAAAGTTATTACTTTCTACGCATATCCAATCAATACCAGGTAATTTTGCTATAAAAGTAACAAAATAACAAAGCCAGCTTTTGAATTACACCTGGCTTTTAAGGTTTCTTATGAATCTAACGATATATTTTATTCGTCAGAAGTCGTTCCAAATTTTAAAACTGTATTACATACGTAATAAAAAACTTTATAAAGTGATGGTCGCACCTCACATGGTCTATTAATATATATGTTCAGTGATAAAAAAGATTTCTGACAGAATTTTAAGTTAAAAACTTATCAGACATCCCGTACCAGTTACACATTCATGTGGTTTTTTTAAGGTGCACCGGAGAACTGAGTAAAAGGGCTGATGAAGGATTGCTCAGTAGTTTTAGTTGGTTCAAGTCCGACATACCAATCACCTCCTTACTATTTACACCCCAGTGAGGTGAAGACTTGTAGTTGTTTCCATATAGAAAACGAAGTATAATATATACCTGTTTCTTAATTTTAATTGAGACCAGTACAGCAAGTATATCACATCATCAATCTTTAACTCTTTACATGCCACCCCTCTAATATGCCACTACACTGTAAAGTGCTTTCACTGGTAAGCACTGTACAGTGTAGCGGCATATCAGAGGTTAACACTCCATAGTCCTTTTTAACAAGTAAATAGAAAAAAGATATTGCAAAAAGATTTGACTGATTTCTTTTATACCTAACTTAAAGATGTTGGCATCTTCCCTTGTATGAAGTTTTTTAACACATACACTCGTAATGTATAAAACACTGGCATTTTGCTGATTAAAAATTTTTGTCCTACTTAAGTAATATGTAGCAAGCCAATTGCCATCAACCGGGTACATAAAGCTAAAAATAAACATACCCTTTTATTTCTAAATATATACATATTATAGACTAGTTGGTGCCCGCGACTGCGTTTGCATGGAATTAGAAAAGCCCTGGTGGGTTCGATTCCCGGACCCGGCAAACGGTGCAGCCATTTCGAAGATTACCTGGAACACACAGACAGATTAAAAATATTTAAACTGGTTTTTAGGCATAGGTATTGTGCAAATAACCATGTGAGCATAAATAAAAAATATAATATTTTGACATTACAAGCAGACACAACAAAATAAAATGCTCATCACACAAATGCCCTGGGTTCCAACTTATAAATTAAACTTACTGCAAAAAATCTAATTCACCTAGAGCTAGTCAACTATATGTCCCTATAGTAATTTAATTATTTAAATTCAGTTTCTTTTCATTAATGTTTGCAAATTCCCCCGCATTGCAAGTATATTCCTGTTATGGAAGATGAAAAATAGATATGTCTAGATCTTCTCAAAGTTGATAATTAATTTTATTATGCTTTCAATTTAGGTTGGCAACTTCAGAATGGATGCAAGCGGCAACACCATGCAAGATAAAGTGCCCGCTCACCGATCTGCTGTCTACATCTCTGAAATGATTGACGATATCTGTGAGTGTATATACTATAACTTTAAAAACAAACATAATTTCAATAATGTAATAATAGTGCAATGTGGTGTCAGATTCAGAATACAGAGTGTCACCCCCCTATTCATACCGTTCGAACAGAAGTCCCAACTCCCTCTCTGATGATGATGATGGTGATGATTAGACCATCACATAAATGGTCTACTTCTTTTTCTCTTAATGCTATATCTTGAGGGCCCGATATCCTAACATATAACAAATCAATTAGCCCAATTCCTGTTTTACACTAAAAGCCATTAAAGAGTTCCTTTTATTGTGTTATATGGGGGCAAACAAGCAGACGGGCACTCGATGGAAAGTGACTTCCCCATGAATACCTGTAGCTCAAGGCCTTTGAGTCCTTTCCTTTAGAGTCATAGAGCGGAGAGGTTTTGACTTAACTTCACTCACTCGGTGAAAACAACCAAAGAATTTCCCAACACCCATTTTCAGTGAGGCCATGGTGTCCCCCGCGGATCTTAAAAATAATATTTTTATAATAATAGTATTTTTTCACACAACGCCATCTAGTTTCAAACTAAGCAGAGTTTGTACTATGAAAGCTAGATTGACTGATAGAATATTTATAGACTCTTTTTTTCGGTAAATACATGCATATGTTTGCAGATCATACAAACATTTGGTCCGACCCGAGAATCGAACCCGAGACCTCAGCACATTAGTCGCATACGCTACCACTACACCACCGAGGCAGTCGTATCAGTAGTTTAATCTTATCTCCACCATTGTACCTTTATCAGGGAACTTCTAAAATAAGACTTGGTTTAATTATATTGACTGCACGGATGGCGTAGTGGTTTAAGCGGTCGCCACGCCGCTTCCTACTACGCCGAGTGTTGTGGGTTCGATCCCCACATGGGACGACACTTTGTGTGATCCACAATTTGTTGTTCTGAGTCTGGGTGTTCTTTGTGTCCGTTTCATGTATGTTAGTAAAGTCCCCCGCGACACAGTTACGGGAGTTGTCTTTTAAAAAAAAAAAAAAAAATTTACGACTGTTTACAGGCAAGAAAATGGACGACTACGTGCGTGTGTACTACAAGTCAACTGGCAAGTTGGCCATTATGCAGCTCATCACCAAAGATGGTAGCATGAACCCCGAGTTTAGCAAGACCAAGTTTGTAACTGATGATGATCTGAACAAGAGTTTGGAGTATTATGTAAGTATATAATATATATCACACATCTCTCACACGACCGTCTAATCCCAAACTAGGCAGAGCCTGTACTATGGTAATCAGACAGCTGATAAACATACTTATATATTTCGAAATACATACAGTGAAATTAGTCTCGAGAAATTTTTGCATATGTAGTGGTGTGTATATTACTCAGATCTTAGAGTGCGTTGCCACTATATCGTTCTGGCCTATACAAAAATGTTTCGATATCCTAACATTACTATTTAATTTTATACTTATCCCTAGCAACACTCTGATTTTTGTTTTCAATAAAAACAAGTTTTTATTTTAAAGAAAAAGGTTTTGACTTTATAAAAAAAAAGGTGTGTGTGCAATTCACACACGATAGAAGTGAAACTTCAAAGAGGAGAGACCGATATTCAAAATTTTTTTTTTTTTCCTTTCATCTAGGTTTTTAAAATTCCGGGAGTCTACGGGGGGGTCAAAATTTTTGTTATTTTTGGCCTAGGACGCACCGTTTCCGAGATATTTCAATCTAAAGCAAAAAATCGTCACTTGATAGTGGAAAGTGGAAACACGCACAAAACCAGAATAAACCAGTTTACGCTGTCCGCTACCATACACTACTACAAACGCAAAAATTTCTCCCTACACCCAGACACAGAACAAATGACCATGCTCATTACACAATATTTGTCCTGAGTGGGAATTGAACCCATAAGAACCAATAATTGAACCATATAAATGGTTAATAAGTTACAGAATGATGGCCAAGAGATATCTTGCGGCCCTCGCGGCCCCCCCCTTTTTTTTCTGTGCGGAAATCCCTTCGGATACCACTTACCGGTTGCACGACATTGCATTGACATTGAGACATTGACTCGAACCGACTAAAACCGCACGCCGTCTTAGGTACCAGTAGTCGGGGAACCAGGTGTACCCTAGAAAGGAAATCCCTGGTGCCCCGACGTACCTCGGGCCATCTACGGCGGGTAGACGACCCTCCCTGTGTGGAAAACCCCATGTTCCCTCTGTGCCCGATGATTAGAAGGATTTTTATTTTTCTTAAGAAAGACAACTCTCGCTCTAGGAATACATTCTATATCGCGGGGGAATTTAAAAAGATTCATAAAACGGACACAAAGAACACCCGGACTTTGTAGATTTGTAGTGTTGTCTCATGTGGGGATCGAACAAACAACACTCAGCGCAGTAGGAAGCGGTGAGGTGACCGCTTAAACCACTACACCATCCGTGCAATCGAACATCGTGAGGGCGGCAGGAGAGAAATGGACGCGGCTGGCACAAACCCGCCAGGAGTGGCGTGATAGAGAAGACACCTTTACCCAGCAGTGGTGGTTTACTTAGATAGATAGATATGTTTAAGACACATTCTTAGACCAGCTGTGCCATATTGTGCTTGCATTGATGAAAATTCATTACCAAAACTTTTTATTTTTTTTGTTTTAAAAAGACAACGCCCGCATTAGGAATAAATCCTGTGTCGCGGGGGACTTTACAAACATACATGAAACGGACACAAAGAACACCCAGACTCAGAACAACAATTTGTGGATCACACAAAGTGTCGTCCCATGTGGGGTTTGAACCCACAACACTCGGCGCAGTAGGAAGCGGCGTGGCGACCGCTTAAACCACTACGCCATCCGTGCAAACTGACTTAAAACAATATTTGAAGTGGTTTGGATTGCCTTATTTCAAAATTGTGAGCTCAATCGGTGCAAAAATTTTAGAGTTTTTGAAGCATACACAAACCAATACAGATAGATTATGCAAAGTAATAGTAAAATAAGTAAGTAATAGTAAAAAGTAATGTCCATGTGGTGACGGATTAAGAATACAAATTGTCACCACCCCAATTCATCCCGTGGGTGTCGTAAGAGCCGACTAAGGGAGCAAACTAAGCAGGACAACAGCACTGCAAAGAGAAGGAAGACTTGAAACAAACCCTATACCAACCCGTCTGGCCAGCGTGGTATAGTAGGCCCAAAACCTCCTTTCTAAGGAGAGGCCTTTGTCCACCAGTGGACTAGTATAGGCTGTTGATGATGCAAAGTAATTAACATTGAAAATAAAAATTGAATCCTTGCCTTTTGTTTTAGTGCGAGCGCATGTTTGAGGAAAATGAAGACGAGATCACTTCGCTGTACAAGAACAGACCTGATGATGACATCATGCCTGATGCCGAGAAAGAGGTAACACACATTATTAATATAATAATTATAAGGTGGCGTGGAGCTTTGTGAACGGCCTTTATAGGTAGGATGGATGGATAGGATGCTGAACAACTTTGCTTGGTATTTTTGTTTTGGTAAATTTTCTAAAAATGAAACCTAGCTAGATCGATTCATCGCCGAAACCCCCTGCATACTAAATTTCATGGAAATCGGTGGAGCCGTTTCCGAGATTCAGATTACACATATATATACAAGAATTGCTCGTTTATAGGTATTAGATGGGATGTTCACAAAGACCCACGCCATTGGAAACTTTTGCCATTGACCAGTTTCCTTCGCCCCGCTTTTCTCAACCAGTTCCCCCTTTAACGGTACGATATTTCTCTTCTCTTTCTCAGTTATTTTTTTCCCTCGTTTTCCCGGTCAAAAATTACCCATTTCCAGGCAATCTTTCATAAATCCTTCAATTAATTTTTTCAAAATATTTAGACCCAATTTTACAAAAAATGTTTTTCGAAAAAAGAAATCCATTCAATTTAATTTATTGCATTCCATAATGTACAGTGTAGTAGGCCAAAACCTTCCTAAGGAGAGGCCTATGTCCAGCAGTGGAGTAGTAAAGGCTTTTGATGTGATAATGTACATTTACAGGTGGTAGGCTTAAAAATAAGTAACAATTATGGGCCCTGTAGGGCACAGCACATTGAAACATCGAATTTACTTTACAAAAATAATGAGTATAAAAGGATAGCTTATGAAAGCGTTGCGACGCCAATAGCCGGTCAAACCATTAGATGTTTCACGTCAAAAGATAAATTTCTGTTAAATCGTTATTATCAGAACACATAACGCCCTCTATCGAACGTTAGCTGAATTATAAGGAAATATTTTGTATAGTCTGTATGGTGACGGATTAAGAATACGTACTGTCACTACCCCTACTCATTCTGTGGGTGTCGTAAGAGCCGACAAAGGGAGCAAACTAAGCAGGACAACAGCACTGCTAAGAGAAGAAAACTTAAAATAAATGCTGGACATAGGCCTCTCCTTAGAAAGGAGGTTTTGGTCTACTATACCACGCCGTTCAGACGGGTTGGTATAGGGTTTGTTTCAAGTTTTCCTTCTCTCTGCAGTGTTGTTGTCCTGCGTAGTTTGCTTCCTTTGTCGGCTCTTAAGACACCCACGGGTTGAATAGGGGTGGTAACACTCTGTACTCTTAATCCGTTACCACACGGATAAACTTCTACATATAAACTTTTATTTTAAGAAAGTTTTCTACACATATTAATATATGAATCATTATATTATAGACTAGCTGAGACCCGCGGTGTTACCCGCGTTTGTTGTTATAAACGGGCAAAGCTAGTCTAAAAAAAGTAGCCTAAGTTACTCCTTATGTCATCAGCTATCTGCCAGTGAAAGTCCCGTCGAAATCGGTCCAGCCGTTCCAGAGATTACCCGGAACAAACAGACAGACAGACAAAAATTGTATAAAATGTTATTTTAGCATATGTACCGTGTAAACATACATATGCATTTAGTAAAAAGCGGTTATTTTAATATCACAAACAGACACTCCAATTTTATTTATTTATTTATTATTATTATAGATTTGCTTCAACCACGCCCAATACTGCGAGGACTGGATGTTGCCGAATGAGGAAGACACGACCTGGACTCGCGAAATGGAAGCTGAATACGTTAGGGTATGTGTATACTCCATTTCCTCAATCCTTGACCTAGTTAATAGAATCTAAACAATATTATAAAAGGTAATGACGCATACAAAATCAGTCTTCAAGCGAACAAATATTCATTCAAATATTTTAATATAATTTTAATGTAATCTATAATGCTGTTACGTGTTAGGGTTCCTTGATTTGGAATAATAAACCTTCTGTCGACTAAATAGAGTTTATTATTACTACCGACGACCGGATGGCGTAGTGGTTTGTGTAACGGACTGCTAATCCAAAGGTCGCGGGTTCGATTCCCGATCAAGTCAAACATTTGTGTGCATGAACATTTAATGTTTCATTTGGTCTGGGTATTTCTATGTAAAATATGTATGTATTTACAAAAAAAAAGTATATATATTTTTATATCAGTTGTCTAGTACCCATAGTACAAGCTCTGCTTAGTTTGGGACTAGATGGCGTTGTGTGAATGTGGTACAATATTATTATTATTATTACTAAACTTAAAAAAGTTAAACAAGACTTAAGGATAGTCCGGAATTATCGCTTAAGTCTCTGGGTCACGCTACTATTTGCTTTGATGTTTATCGCACTGTAGCTCGAACTGAACTGTCCCCGACGAAGACGTTCCTTTATTTCTAACTAGCTGACCCGCGCAACTTCGTCTGCGTCTCTCAATAGTAATAAATTTTCTCCGTTTTTGAAACATTCTTCATTGGTGCTCCGCTCCTATTGGTCTTAGCGTGATGATATATAGCCTATAGCCTACCTCGATAAATGGGCTATCTAACACTGAAAGAATATTTCAAATCGGACCAGTAGTTCCTGAGATTAGCGCGTTCAAACAAACAAACAAACTCTTCAGCTTTATAATATTAGTATAGATACAGACGTTTAGAAAGCTCGTTACAGCTTATTTTAATCACTAGTAAAACTTCCGATTTCTGAGTAATACTACTGGGTTTCGTATATTATTATATTTTGACTTGTTTTCATTATTTTTATTGACAATACTCTTTATAATTCTTAATTTTTAAAGGCAGGTTTTGGCCTACTATACCACCCTGGCCAGACGGGTTGGTATAGGGTTTGTGTCAAGTTCTTATTCTCTTTGAAGTGCTGTTGTCCTGCGTAGTTTGCTCCTTTAGTCGGCTCTTACGACACCCACGGGATGAATAGGGGTGGTGACACTCTGTATCCTTAATCCGTCGCCACACATATTTAATGGTTATAAATTATTATTTCCATTAATATAATTGTTTCAATAACCATTTTCTCCATGGAGACAGTGTTGAATATAGATTTCTTATATAAAATACATTTCCCCCTCTTCAGGTCCACGGTCCAGACCCCTACGGCTTCGGCGGTGTACCTCAACAGCAGAACATGATGCCAGAAATGCCAGACGATGATGGTGATGAAAATGAGGAAGACATTGCTGCTGAAGAGAAGGACGAGTTATAAATACAGGGTTATTATATAGATGTAATTATATAGTATAGCATCGTCAACTTATTATAGAACAGGGTTGTATTATTTTAGACGCTTATGTAATTGGTTGAGTTACCCTCTTTAAACAGATAAAAAAGTGTGTCTGTCAGCTCTGACGCACGACTGGAGTTTACTCGTTAAGAACGATTCGGCTTCACACAAGTGTACAAGTTATACACACACACGTGTGAAAGGTGCGCACAAAAAAACTTAACGAGGTCATTCGATCACAAAATTTTACTCTTCATATTTTAATATGAAAATCGATTATTAAGGAGTAAACTCCAAAAAGGTAATCAATTTACCTGAAAGAGATACATTTCTAAATAATATATATACACTTTTGAACTTAGGCGTTCCATTATACACATACAAAACTAGATATTGCCTGCGACATCACTAATTATTTCGTGTTTAACTTTGAAATTGACGAACTTTGATACGACCGTTTATCCCTTATTTACACCCTTAGGGGTGAAATTTCCAAAAATCCTTTCTTAGTGGGTGCTTATAACTTAAAAAGTGTCAGCTGCCAAAATGTCAAGTTTTTAGCCCATGCGGTTTAGACTCTGCGTTGATGAAAGAATCTGTCAGTCATGGGAAGTAATTTTAAATGTATCATCATCATCATCATCATCATCAACAGCCTTTACTAGTCCACTGCTGGACATAGGCCTCTCCTTAGAAAAGAGGTTTTGGCCTACTATACCACGCTGGCCAGACGGGTTGGTATAGGGTTTGTGTCAAGTTTTCCTTCTCTCTGCAGTGCTGTTGTCCTGTGTAGTTTGCTCCCTTAGTCGGCTCTTACGACACCCACGGGATGAATAGTGGTGGTGACACTCTGTATCGTCACCACACGGTCATTTATATGTATAGATGACCTTAAAATGAGATTACAGCTTTCTATAAAGCTATATGACTGTTTGAATAATTCAATAGTACTATAGATGTACTTAAGATAATTACTAAAGGATTTAATGAATTTACTCTCTTCTAGTAAGAAATAGACATGGCAACGACTGCACGACTGCACGGATGGCGTAGTGGTTTAAGTGGTTGCCACGCCGCTTTCTACTACGCCGAGTGTTGTGGGTTCAAACCCCACATGGGACAACACTTTGTGTGATCCACAAATTGTTGTTCTGAGTCTGGGTGTTCTTTGTGTCCGTTTCATGTATGTTTGTAAAGTCCCCCGCGACACAGGAATATATATTCCTAATGCGGGCGTTGTCTTTTTTAAGAAAAGAAAAAAGAATTGTTGCTACTTTTAAATCATATACATTTGATGAAATTATTTATTATGATCACTGTGATTTCACCTGTGATAAATCACTGCTTAGATTTGGTTAAAGACAAAGATTAATGCTGCAAAATCAATCAAACCGATATTGTTTTAGATTAAAACCTTTCGTTCGCGTGTCTGCTAGTGATGTTGTAGATGAGCCACAGGTGTGATGAAGTTATTTAAAATATATATGATTAATCACCGGTGATTGTGAATTTATCTCGTGCCTAGTTAGAGATATATTACAAAACTATCAATTGACATCAAACAAAACCTTAACAATAAAAAATCTAATGATTTATACGAAATTTAATTCAGTTTATAAAATTTTTACTTTTAAATGTTACTAGTTATATATATATTTTACTAATTATATATATATATAGGGTAGATGGTCTGTGAAGTCGAACCATTGTCTTTGTGATGTATGTATTTTATGTGTATTTATATATACATATATATATATACTAGCGGACCCGACAGACGTTGTCCTGTCAAATTTGACACTGCGATGGTAGCGCCGTCTGTCTGATCCAATGTAAAACATTCCAAAATCAACAAATACTAATAAATTAAAAATTAATTAAAAAAACATTGTCCAGCGGACAAAATTGTGAATCTAAACCATTCCCAGATCCCCTTGAACACACACAAAAAATTTCATCAAAATCGGTCCAGTCGTTTGAGAGAAGTTCAGTGACATACACACTCACAGAAGAATTATATATATAAAGATATATGTGTATGTGTGTGTATGTATGTATGTATGTATGTGTGTAATTGTATATGTTAGTTATAACTACTATAGCAACTGCAACCTCAGTGCACCTACCTCACCAGATTTCTACACCCCCCTAAAGGTTGGCTGGTAGAGAATGCCTTGGGCATTAAGCCCGCTGTTGTACATAAGTGCATAAAGTTGTAAATAAATAAACGCGGTACATTTTTGTATGAAATACTAAGGCGTGACGTCATTGTCAAGTCTTTTATATTTATTTATATAAAACTAATGCACATGCTCTCCCAGTCGTCCTCCTGAAGGTTGATGATGAAATGGTTGATGTAAAAATATGATGCGGTAGGTCCAAAATAAAATATTAAATTTAACATAATAGAATTCCAGAAGTATACAAAATACATAAACTCAAATTATCTTTATTTCATAAAATGTTTAAAATTGTTTGAAATCGTCTTTTATGTAGACTCTAAAGTCATAGATCACCACACACAAAAGCAACAATCTCTGTTTTGTCAAATAGTAAGCAAATAAATTTAACAAAAATCAAACCCATACAAAATCTATGATATGCCTGTGCCGATCTACAACCGCCCGTTTCCAAGGGCTTGAGCCTTATGAGAAGAAAGGGCAAACAAACTCATGGCCACTCTTTTGCAATTCACAGATGGCACTATTAAATATACCAGGTATAAAAAATAAATAAATGGTATGGGAATGTTCCCTGAGTATACTTAATGTAAGAAATATGCAATTTAAGTAAAATTTTTAATGAAAACAACAGTGCCAGGATATTCTTTTAGTTTTTAATATTGTTTTATGTATAATTTATACATATATTGTATACGTATGTATGTATTTATGTATTAAATGGACCCGTGGGTCTAGTGCTTAGCGACCTTGACTGTTGGCCAGAGGATGCAGATTCGATTCTAATCTAGGACAAATATTGAGTGACCATCATGATCATTTGTTCTGTGTCTGTGTATACTTTATCTATAATATGTATGTATTTAGTAATATATAATATATGTTTATCAGCAGTCTGGTTACCATAGTACAGGCTCTGCCTAGTTTGGGATCAGACTTCCTTCAGATGTATCAAGTTGGTGTTAAGTATTTATGTATATATTGGCTACCGTACTTACTATTTATAAGTACGTATGTACTTATTGTAACTTTTAAGTGTTTACGTAGAAATTTGAAACGGTTTTAACGGAAAAGGTTCGAATGTGTACTCTGCAGCCCACGATGTCGCCTTGTTCAGAATCATTTACATAAGATTACATAAACCCTTTAGGCCATAGACATTCATGTCGTAGTAGCGTCAACAATACCCGGGAGGACATACGCCCTCTTATAGTCCCTCCAACGATGATTCAAAACGATTTTATTACCTACGAGGGAAGGCGTCAGGCAGGTGTTTAGCCATAAAAGAAACCAGCCATAACCCTTGGCAATGAATGGTGCAATAGTACACATGGAAAAGAGCAATAAATTGATGATGATGACATAGAATGACCTGTACCGTCTTGTATTTGTACTCGTAACTGTACTCTTTTGTATGTATGACGTAAATATATACAAAATATTTTATGTATTAAGAATACACGCACAAAGAAATGTGTTCACGACTGAATTTAACAATATACAATATTGTAATAATATATATAGTAACTCCCCTTGTATTACCATGACGGGTTACCATGAGGTGACCCGTCTGACAACTTGCCATAACCATTAAACCAAAACATAGGTTTAACATAACTTTTTTTTTGTAAATTTTTGCAATTTTTTCTAGTGCCTTTAAATATTGGTATACCTATTTAAAATGATTTATAAAATCTGTGTCAAATTGGTCCGGTCCTTCTATCTGGGATTTTATTTTTATTTATTGAGCGTTTACGAGTACATTTTAAGTATTTTAAATTTACTTATACATATTTTTGCGTTAAATAAACGACAATAATTACTAAATATTTTATTAACATATTCATGACAATTGGTTTTATACTATGTATAATATATTATTATAAGTTATTTATTAGAAATATTTGCATTTTTAAACAGAAATTAGTACTTACTGGTAAGCAAAAATTGTCTTCCACGGCATCTACTGGTCAAATTGATGCAATAATTACTGTGTGTATATCTGCACGTCTTGGAATTAATACAGGCGTGGTTTTATAAAACTGATATTGTTATTATTAGAGATTATTTTCAAAAAAGATATATATATGATAGGCATTATTTTAATATAAAATTTAATTGTGTTGTGATTATCAGAGATTTGTACGAGTATTAAATGAGTTGTTAAATAATTTGTGTTTCATTTGAATTGTGGACACCACAAAAGGAGTAGTACTCATCACCACCAAAAGCCTTTAACAGGCCATAGGCCTCTCCTCTGAAAGGAGGTTTTGGCCTACTATACCACGCTGGCCAGACGGGTTGGTATAGGGTTTGTGTCAAGTTTTCCTTTTCTTTGCAGTGCTGTTGTCCTGCGTAAATTGGTCCCTTAGTCGGCTCTTACGACACCCACGGGATGAATAGGGTTGGTGACACTCCGTATTCTTAATCCGTCACCACACGGTGTAATAGTACTCATTTTACAAGCGATTAGTGCTCATGTTCTGTAAAATAAAAATATATATTTCAGCGCCATCTTGCGGCGACAAAGCGAGCTACCTAGTACATCAGAATGTATTCTTTGTGCTAACTAGTCGGTTTGTTCACAAGTACCAACAAATTTTAATAATCGGAACAGTTTAAGTTATAATTATATTGAGATTTGAAGAATATTTAATGGTTATTTATAGAAGACGGGTTCCGGGTAAGCTAAAATTTTAAACAATATGTACCATAAGATTAGGTGAAAACGGTTTTTTATGTCATACGGGGCAAATCGGAAGACGGGTCATGTGATACCATTCACCTACCGCCACCCAGTAA